TCCCTTTTAAATCAGTATGGATGAAACCATTCTGTATGAGTTCATCTTCTCTATCTTTTGCAGAAACTTTTTCAAAGAACTGTTTAAGACATAACTTACGTATGAATTTATGTACATCTATAAAAGTATTAAAAGGTTTATTAAGACACGAAGGAACAAACTTAGGACCTTTGCTTAAAACTTTTATGTAAGATTAATTTAAAACTTTATCAGTGAGATTAAAAATGCCTTATAATTTAATAACCTTCCTTTCCCTGATCTGACTCCTCTCCTACTTTTTGCCAACTCCTTTTTCTTAGAGGGTTAACAAACTCCCTTTTGTGTAAAATTCTCCCTAAAAAAGTGGAAGATGTCTATTTCCATTGTTACCAGATAAACTTTGTTGTATAATAATTTTCATTATCCTTATTAAAAAGAATTCCAGAGCTATGTTATTTTCTAAATACTTTTCCATGGTGAATAGGTGCAGGTCATTTTATGTTTAAGGACATTTTTATATGTTTGTCAATACAAAAATACACTGACCATACAACAGCCCTATGAAAAGGCATAAACATGGCATTTCATGCAAATTTACTTACATTTCCCATTATCCGCATGGTTCTATTAGATTGGCAACATTGCATGCATTTTAAGAGCTTGCCGTAAATTCCTCACATTCCTAAAATTTCTGAAAATTACAGTGAAAGGGAATACCATGGAAACTCGTATACTCATATACACATAATAGGCATTCATAATGTACTGAGGGTTAGAATAAAATGGAACCATAGATGATATATATTAAGGCCGTTGACCTTAGTTTCATCCCCTCTCTCACATATCACTACCACTTTATTTACAGCCCTACCCGTAGGTCGGTTTCAATACACCACAACCGACTTTCCTTTATACCATTACTTTTTGTACCTGACTACAAAAATCTAAAATGCTAATAGTTGGCTATACTAATGCTCCCACCTCAAAAGTAACCATCTTGTCTTAATTATTACTTTACTAAAGTTGCAGCATTTTATTCAATATCTGACATTTAAGTGCCTTTGAAAGTTACTTAAATGTTTTCGGTTTACAGCTGCTGGTCCTCTCCTCCATCCCCCAAAACTATGGATGTGAATAGAATATTTAAAAATCAAGGGCTATTTGGCAGCAATTGAAACCTCCTCATTTTTGTCATAATTTGTTCATATGATTTTTCCATCAGTAGCTGTTATTCTGAAATTCAACAAAATTGTACTACATTTCATGAGTAGCAGTAACAACTTGAATGACACTTGCTGAACATTATTATATTAGATACAGGAGTGGGGACCAGAACCGCGCTTTGAAATGGACAATTGTAATAATTATAAAAGATGAAAAGGAATTCTCCAATGCAGAAATAATGTTCTATAAATGATTAGATGTTGTATAGTCTTTCATAGCATTTCATGTGCCTCACTATATAGAATAATCAAAGGCTATCAAATCTGCTAGAAGCGGTATTCCCACTCAAGGGCCGTTTGGCAATTTTTGGAGCAAGTACAAATGAATAGGACCTTTTGCCCACTGTCCTTTCTCACCCCTGCTCCAGTTCATAATTTTGGTATGGAAGAAGCCCTACACATTTCCTGCCAGTAAACTCTCTCCTGCAGTTGTGTGCCAATAAACAGCCCACCACAGCTCTTGCTGCATGTAATCACCTGAATGATAGTGGTTGTCTGAAATGCTTATATGGGACTGAACTGTTCCTTAATTAAATAAGGACTATTTTCTTTTGCAAAGTATAATACAAATAGTAATTAAAATAGTTTTTCCTACCAAGAAAAGTTATTTCTCTCATACTCGTCAGTATTTGATTGGTTCACCTCCAAAGGGGCCACTACGGCAGCACCATTCCTACAAAATGCATGTTCCATGTGTGCCTCCAATTCCCATTTTGTCTTTAGTTTTTGATTTGTTGAATGAGAATAAAGAGTTTTGCTATAGAGGAAAGAATGTAATTTTGTATAAAGAAAGATCCAGAATTCGGCACCATTTAGATAGTAGTACCAATTACTGGGGGACTATTAACTCTGCTACACAAATAGGCTATGTTCTGTGTAAGAGGTGGTATGACATATAGTGTATATAAAGGGTTGTTTACCTTTATATAACTGTAAAGTATAACTGTGGAAATAAACAGTGTGTAGGCTAAAGCCCCATATGTCCTCTAATACTTTGTTAAGAGGATAGGAGAATGTTTGGAATCATGCTTAGAAATTATACTAAGTGCATACTGAGGCAAAGACCATAACTAGATGGAGAGGTCATTCATGTACTGCACATAATGTACAATCTTCTATTCTCAGGGAGAGGCACGAGTTTCCTGTAGTATTTATGGGAGTTAATGAATCTGTCACATGGAATTGTTATCTGATCAATTTGGAAATATTTTTTACAAGAACTAAACAATAAATTAATATTGCCATATAGGTTTGAAGAAACCATACAGCATAGAACAAAGATTACTAAATGGACTTTAAGTCAGGGCTGTAGTACTGGAAGTACAATTATAAACATTTATAGAAGACAAACTAGACTATATAACATGAATGTGCAGATAGAATGTAAGCTTTGCAGACCACATCAACTAGGAAAGTAGCATCAAGATTAAGAAAACCAGACAGATAGAAATGCATGAAATATTATACTGAATCAGAATAATTAAACCCTTAAAAAATTCAAGATACATACTTATGTCAGAAAAGGTGGTTTAGTGTGTGGGCAACAAAATTATAAAGAAAATTGCATTTGTGTTAATAGCATGAAAAATGTGCTTGAAATTGATTCACCATTTCACCATGGATAGATGTAATCAGTGTGCATACTGCTTTGACCTCTGTATATACCTAAGGTGTGTGCCCCAATTCTTTGTGCTCTAAGACATGTGCTATGTACTGTCTGCAGATCTAGAGAAAGCTGCATGCTCTAATCACTTGTTCTCTATAGAGACTTAAAGCTTAACCACAGCAACAACAATTGAGCCAGCAATTTTATACATCCTGATAAAAACTTATTAAACCCTTCCATCACACATATTGCCAAAATATATGCGTGAAAATATTTGTATCTTGAATACATATGTTTGTAATATGTGTGTTAATGCATGCGTATGTTACAAGATTTGTGAGACCACATTATATCATGACACAGATGCTATGTCATTGGCCTTTAAGGAGGTAATAAGTGTATAATTATGTACGTTCATTTATGTTATGTATGTTTTAGACAAAGATTCCACTTGCAATACAAATGTAGCATTTCATTGCTGATCACTCTAAAATTATGAAAAACATTTTCCATACAACGTGTGTATTATCTAAAAAGGCTGGAAAAATCATGTAAATGTTTTCTATGGTACAAAGTACTGGTTTACTATTGTAAAGTATGCTAGATAATTTATTCAAAATGTTCAAATTCTGTTTTAAATTCACATAATACAAATGTGACTTGTTTCCAACGCATGACTTAATGGGATACTCCAATGCCCAAATGTAAACAAAATCACATGTAGTAGAAATGCCCCCCAGGTATCCTTTCTGCGCCTTTGCACCTTATAACATTTACTTCTGTGTTAAATCCATGGTCAGTGGCCCGTTAAGCCAACTTGCTTCATCTTCACGGTCATCATCTCTGTAGCCTTTTGGAAAGAGTAAACAATTTAACCCCTGACATGTGTGACATGTCATGATTCCCTTTTATTCCAGAAGTTTGGTCCTTAAGGGGTTTTTAAAGAATATTTGGTACATAATAAAACTATTAACTCATAAAAATGTGAAAATTATGTTCATGGAGGTCTTATTTGTGTCCAATTTATACTAATAAGTATAATATTAAATGTATAGGAGACCAGTAGATTATTAAGAAAAAGTGATTCAATGTGATTTGCTTTCTGATAACTTACATGATTTTATTGGGAAGTAAAATAACGAAAAAGTTATGTAGGTGGGGAGAGAATTGTGATTGAAAACCCCTTCCACCTAAAGTTTGTGAATAGTTAATACAATGTTAAACACAAATCTGTACACCAGTCAAGATATGACTTGCTTTACCCACAGAAATCACAAATGAGCTGTCCATGAGTGGCTCACTGGCTTTGCATCTTTTCCTAAGTTGTGTTTCAAAGCTGTTGTATACAGCCACACAGACTCAAAGGAATCCATGTTTAAAATGGAATGAGGCAAAAATGTGATTCTTTGTTAAACTAATTTGCATATGCCCACCCAGAATCCTTTGCGGTAGTAACATCACTGCAAATTTGTGATTTCTGTGGGAAAAGAAAGTCTTATGACTTGACTGGTGTGGAGATTTTTGTTTAACATTGTATTAACTATGATTTTATTGTAAACATATGCAATCAAAGTTAAAATGAGAGCATCTGCAAACATCTGTGAGATTGGGTATTCGGTGAAATGGAGATTTATTAGTCTACACAAGTAAATCCTTTCCCTTTGTTTTTTAGTCTGCCTTTTTTTTTATTTGGATAGTCACTACAACTAATCTGTTTGCAGCAAATGTTTAAATTTAACTACCAGTCAATAGTAACTATGGTAGTATAATTTGAATACTTTCTACATACAAACCAGGTTTTTGTTAATTTATGGAAACCAGCTACTCACAAATCTCAAATACAAATAGAGTAGTTTACATTCACTATAAAACAAAAACTTTATTTAAATTGACCACAAAACATAAATGTTGTCAGATAGCTTTGTAAAACACAGAGTTTAGAATGTAAGCTTTTAAGGTAAAGAAAGCTGACTGAAAAGTATGTAAGGACAATCAATGCCATATGAGGACACTAGGTTGGACTTTGCCTTGTGTATCTGCAATTCAAAACAGTCGCCATTTTTGTTTAAACTAAATGAACATTGCCCTCAGTCTGTTGCAAGGCCCTGAAAGTGAACTATGTACTTGTTTATTATATGAATCTGATCCTCAAAGGATCCCATTGCCATACAGACATCTGATAAAGGCAGGGAGATAAAAAGAGGACAGAAAATTTACCTGAAAAGGTTAGATGTCTGGTACAGGAACAAATAAAAGGTTTATGATCTCCGCACTAAAACAGTAACTTTATAAGAAAACACACGCAAACTTCATGTCCTTTCTGCTTGTTGACGATTTTATTTTTTTCTACTTGTACAGCTATAGTTTACATTGCAATGATGCAGTTTTAGAAACAGCCCAAACCCTGTCTCCCGGCAGTACATTATTAAAACACAAGCAGGACAAAAAGCATCATAGAAATCAACAACAACAAAAAAAAAAAAAAATTGACCTTTCCCAAAGATTAGTGACTAGCTGTAGGTTGTACCTTTAAAAAGCAATAGGGTTCAAAACATTCATTAACCCCTTCGCTGCCAGTGAGAATGCCAACACAAAGAAGCTGCCAGCCTCCCTGGCACCGATCGGGTTAAAAGGCACCAAAGACAAAATATACATATTTACAGACGTACAATTTAAAACAGGAGAAGTCACATATTCCTTCGACAGGGTGTCTGAGTTTTAAACAAACTGTAAACCTTCACTTCCAGGAAAGAAAAATAATATAATTAAAGAAAAAAAAAAAAAGATTTAAAGACTGTTGCGTTTAGACAAAATATCTTCTCACGTACACTGGTGCAATACTTTTAAAATATTTTTAAGTGCTCTATCACATGAACAAATCTCAGATTGGTTTCTGCCTGCAGATACAATCTAAACGTTTGCTGCATTTCAGTTTTTATAGCATTCATTTAATTTTTCTAATTCTGTTTTTAATCTTCATAATATAGGTATATTTATATAGATATTTACAACTCTGCCATAAATTCCTTTTCCTTTGGTTAAAACTATAACAAAAGTTAAAGCCCTCTCTTAAAAAGCATACATAAGAATTCTTTGTTCAGGTTTTCTTTAAAATCGAGTGCACATTTTGCATACCATAAAATTAAATACTTTTAATATATATCTATATATATATTTATATATATATATATATAAATCTTTTCTGGGGGTGCAATTAAGCCAAAGGCTAGAAAAATATTAGATTTTGGTGCCTCTTAGTGCTGGTAAAATATTGCAACTGGGGCAGCAAGGCACCTCTGGAGTCAAACCAGCCTAGACTACAAGGTAATGCTACCAATCACAACATGACCCCAGGACGCCTTATTGCTTTACAAACATGGGGATTTAGGCTGGGCATGTGCAGAGTTCAGCAGGGGCAGAATTGAGAAGTAGATCATACTCATTGGTTAATTAACTCCTTTTCTGCCTGGAAAATCTTGGAGTATTTCAAGGTCTTCGGCAGCTAAGCGGTTAACAGACTCAACCATACCCCTGCATTTTCCATCTAAGTACATTAAACATTCGAGCAAACTTTTTGACACTATCCCTAAAAAGAAATACACTTCCTGGCTGTGCCTTAGATATTCCTTTTGACGAAGACTAGTGCTTCTTTATTTCAAAAGAGAAAAAAAGGTGCTAAATTATAATCACCACCTCATATGCCACACCAGGCAGCAGCAACACTGGCCTCTCTATTAGAGAGGCTGGCTCTGCGAATGGTTTCACTATAATGAGAGTAAGTGATTAGTACAAGTGCTTCTTTTTTTTAAAGAGTCCCTCCAGAGACTGCTGATATCCCAATCAAGAGTTGTAGCCTGGATACTTTTTTTTAGGGTCCATGAAGAAGCAACCCCTCCCCATCTAATTATTTCCATTTACTATTTGGCTTTTTGTTTTTTCTCTCCCCAGTTATTATCAAATCATTACTGGATACAAAAACGCCAACCCCTTTACTTAGAGGTACAAATGTAAAATAATTTTACCCCCAATAAAGAAAGTCAAGCATAAAGCAGAAAGCTGCACTCCGCAGGGCATCTTGGCAAATGTCAAAGTTGGAACGGATTTGCTGGGCAGCTCTTTGAGTCCTTGCCAGCCTTTCTAGTATTCTGTCTTTTGACCAATAAGGTGACTGGTGTTCCCAGATGCTTTTGTTTTCCGCTTTGTGCGGAATCATCAGTGCATTGCTTCCTCAATGGAGAAGCAGGGTTTAACACTCTTTGTCCTCCAAACATCCTTTCCACATCACAGATTTGCTCCTGGATGAAAATTACAATGCTGAAGTAATAGAAAGCGCATGGTCACTCCAACACACGGACATAAAAATTAAAAAATTTACAATGAAGGGTGCACATTTCACATGACCAGGACAAAAAAAAAAAAGCTAAACCCGTTTCATTTCACCCATCTGCACTAACAGGTCAAAAAAGAGGCACTCCACATTTGGTGGGTTAGACCAGAGGTTCAGCAAGATTTGGGGAGCTCAGGGGGCAACTCTGCTGGGGACACGCGATACTGGACTTTTGTATTGGTGATTGCTCCATGTTTTTGACGAAGATGAAGTCTTAGTTGGCTTTTGTGGCGGAAATGAAGGTTGCATTTCTCGCACTAGAATGGAAGAAAAGAAAAGAAGGAAATTGTTATGATTCTGGTTCATGAAGAAAATAGGATTTACATAAATAATTATTTAAAAGAAATCACTAGTCATTTATTTTCAGAACCTGAGACGGATATGCCATTTGTTTTTGCATAGTAAAATGATTCTTCTCATTCTATCTATATAATATTCACTTTTCTAAGTTTTAACACAGATACCAATCTTGTAAGGAGATTTTGATGTGAAATATATATGTTTTCACCATTGAAATCGCTATATGGGAGATAAGCATCTTCGCTGATATCAAAACTTCTAACTTTAAAGGGTCATGTTTCTGTGATAGTTTGATGGTCCCAGATTTAGTTTTACGACTTACGTGATAGGGTTTCTCCCCAGTGTGGATACGGAGGTGACTTTTTAATGTTTGCAGGTGTCGGAATCTAGTTCCGCAGATTTCACAAGGGTATGGTTTCTCTCCAGTGTGTATAAGTACATGTGCACGGAGATGGGCAACCTAAAATTATAAAATTAAAATTAAAAAAAAATCAATCAAATTAGAAAAAACATGAAAATGACCAAACATATTAATATAGACATAAACCTAAGAATCTCGATTGATAGGGAGAGAGCTAGCTAGATAGATAGATAGCATTTTATTATGATGCTGCTTGGTAGATAGATAGATAGATAGATTTTTGTTATGATGCTGCACTAAGAGCATGGCACATTAAAGGCACTCACCTGGACAAACCTCGCTCCACAAGTTTCACACTTGTACGGCTTTTCTCCAGAGTGAATTCTGGTATGGGTTTTTAGGTTAGCAGGCCTGTTGAACTGTGCACCACAGATACTGCAGCGATATGGTTTTTCACCTACAACATAAGCAGAAACAATTATTGTAAAACCAGAGCAATACTAAATGAGGCACCTGTCTATATAGATCACAATTCTTCTTCTTGATCTACGTACTTTCTGTATAGAGACACACATGCATTGGGCCATAAAAGGCAAATACCAGATGCCTTATGGATATTACAGATACCCCATGCATTAGCTGAGGAGCAGTGACTGACATTTTGTCCTTCCCATTCAGTGTTGCAGTTACTAAAAAAACATAAAAAACATTGGTCTCTGGGACCAAGAAGAGGCCTTCAAATTACTTTATACACTTCAGCCCTTTGGGGAAATTAACTGTCATGATCTTTTTATTTTGTTTTAACAAGAGAAATAATGATTGCTATAATTTGCATTGCAGCTTCTCTGCTAAAGTAAAAGCTATGCACAACATGTCCAGTAAGAAATGAATGGATAGTTTCTCAGACAGTGACTTTAGAGTTACTTTGTGATTTAGAACTTTTATTTTAAAGTATGAAATAACCTAATCTAGGCAGGGGAGTGGTGTTTCCCGGGAGACCTTTACCCAACATATTCTTAGTCGCATTTTAAAACTTGTGAAAATCTTGCATCTATTTAAAACAATGATATACACATTTAGATAGCACTATCAAAACGTAAATTTGATTCAGGTGTGATGTCATCTAAAAAGTTAGCTTACCTCTGGGCTTAAGCATTGCAGTCTGTTAAAGGGACACTGCACAGCCCATTAAAAAAAACAAAAACAAAAAAACCCCTAAAAATAACTATTTAGTATATATATATCCTAATGAAAACATGCATGCATTTAATTATGCATTTTTCTTATTTGGGGTGTATCTACAAATAGCTTGCAAATGCTATAAACCCATTAGAGCAATTGCCTGCCTTTTGGGTTTAGCTCCACAAAACTAAACTACCAGAATGTAACAGGACCAGGTGTCTCATTGATAACCAAAGGGTGAAAAAAGGTTAATTTACAAATGTTCAGATTGAAATCTGCACTTTATGTAAAATGAAACAAAGATAACACACACTTCACACATAAAGCACAAAGGCAAGCTAAAGTGCTTTTAAGTGTGTGGATTATTAATTTAACATTCTATTGGGTTTCATGAAAAGGACTATTTACTTAAAATTTAGGCTATTTTACAGATGGGACATATTTTGAGAAAACTGCATCTGACACGTAAAAGTCATACTTTTAGATATAAACTCTACAAAAAAAATAAAATAAATGAGGAATATGTCAGAAGGCAGACACGCACCTGTGTGAACAGTTTTATGGCTGGCAAGATTGCCCTTGTAGCGGAATGAAGCTTGGCAGCGGTCACATTTGTACGGCTTGTCACTGTGCATCTGGAGTGTGTGCCTCTTCAGGGAACCTTCCTCTGAGAAACGAGAGTCGCATTCATTGCAGAAGAAAGTACCATTTTCTGTGGAATAGCAGAAGGGAAAGTAAGATAAAAACATCAGTGATATTTCAAAGACGCTAAAGATCAGACAAAGTCACAAGTTATGTTGTGTAGGGAACTGAAAGGTTCCCTTGCACCTAAATAACAATGGTTTTGTAAGGAATTGAGAACCAAGTGTATTATTTCTATAATGCAAATGACTTTTGCACTCTATTCTGCACTATAAAACTCCATGTTATGTACACAGCGCAAAAAATTCTACATTTTAAATATAATAAAGAATAGTCCTATAAACAGTTTTTACAAGAAACGTATCACTTTCTTTGCACATGTTGAGTTTTGTTTTGCAGCATGTAAATATATAAAACATTAAAGGGACACTAGAGGCATCCAGACCACTTTATCTTATTTAAGTGGTCTGGGTGCAGTGTTCCTGTCCCCTTAACCTTGTAAACCTTGTCGTTTTAGCAAAACCCTGCAATGTAAAAGCATTGCAGTGTTAAGACTGGATCTAGTGGGTGCTTCTTGCAGTTTCACAGAGTTAAAACGATGATGGACATCCTCATGCTGTGCTTGAGGACATCCAGTCAATGCTTTCCTATAGGGAAGGATAAATGCGAGCAGAGGATCAGTGTGACCCAGGAATCAGGTTTTTAAACCCTCTCATGGATGGAGGATGGACCTGGGGAAGGGCCCAGGGCAGAGGGACACTCTACTGTTAGTAATACATCTTTGAATTCCTAACACTAAAGTGCTCCTGTCAAAGCAGATTAAGGGCTGAGATTCCATGGATTATCCTGTTACCTTTTTTGAGAATTTCTTACTCACCACAGCTGGAGTCTGAGTACTCAGATTGCGTTTCAGCCATCTCTTCACCAAAATTGGAGCCAGGGGTGTGAGGACACATTTCAGGTGGTGATTGTGAGGAGAACAATCCAAATTTGGGTGTGTGAATGTAGAGAGGCGAATGCCCTTCACTGCTCTGTGGGGAACTTTCCAAAGTCCTGGAATAAAAGAGATGTAAACTTGTTACTATAGGGGTAAATAAGACACCAGAAATTGTGCTGGATGAGGAACAAGATTTACAGTCTTTGGGTCTAGAAATGGTTTGAAGTAATCAGATCATATAAATTACAGCCATTAATGTCTATAAAGGCCGAAAGCCTCTTCTGACATGCAATATAAATAGATTACTTCCAAAAAAAGTCCCACACTGTATAAATACAAAAATACAAATTGCATAAAACGGCAATTTCTGTCATTGATGTGGAACTATAAACTATGCATTAAAGCTGGTGGTGCAACAACAATATTCCTGAATAAAAAATAAAATTAAAATAAAACATCTCAATAATACAATGGCATACCTATTTACAATATTGTTCAGCTTGCTGGCTTGTGGTATTGATGATGCATCAGTGCCACCATTCATCTTAACTGTAGCCTGAATATCCATGTTTTCTGACTTGACCAGCTGTTGACTTGAAGATTGAGATGTACAGGACTGTGGAGAGAGGCTACCCATTTCATTTTGGTTGGCACAACCTTCCTTCTCTCTCTGATTGAGAGAGTTGAGTAACTTATACTTTTTCCAGTTGCAAGCCTTTGGATCACCAGAGACTTTGGAGACAGGAGAACCAGATTCCTGTGAAATACGAGCATTTTTACTGCTGCTGGACTCAGTGGGAGAGTTGGGTTGACAGTCTGATTTCTGAGGACTTTGTGGGCTAACAAGACCCTTGCGATTGACTGGAGAGTTTGTTGGTTTAAAGTGCTGACTTATTTCATCCTCTGAGGATGTCCTCTCTTCTTCCTTCCCTTTTTCACAGGTGTAAAAGGGACTATTTCTTACAGATGGACCAGCAGATCGGGACCCTGCCACATTGTAATGAGAGTCATTTCTGGGCTCTTCCAATGATGCTTCCTTTGGAGAGTAGATATTTGTCTGGCACATGTTGACCGACAAGTCTGTAGCTGTTGTTCTATAGTCTCCCAATACAGTTCTTGAATTTTCTCCGGGCAACAAACTTTCCTTAGAATATCGACTCGATCTTTGCATCTCTGCCATCTGCACATCTCTTACATCGTCCTCTGGAAATAGGAAACCATGCACAGGGATGTGACTGTATATGGGATAAGATGATGTAGGACCATTGTACAGGTTTGGGATGTAGGGCCTCCCATCACAAATGGCTGCATTTCGAAGAGGTACAGTATTTTCAGACATCTCACAGTTTCTGTAGGTCATGACATCTTGTGGCAGCATTGTTCTGCCAGGAAGATAGTCTTCTCCTCTAGGTATTTTCACTGTGTTCACAATTTCTTCAGTGCTAGCAAACCACAAGAAAATTATATTAGATACAGAGACCAGCAAGATACCACAGACATCCACAAAAGGGTTCTACCAGTCATATAGATTACAAGCATTAGGAGAGAGAAATACATCCTGATATAAACACCAGAATCCTCAAACTATGTAAAGCTGTTCATTAACTTCAAAAAACTATTTAACGAGTAACATCCAGTTTAACAAACAGATGTAAACTTCAACTATTATTAAAGATAAGTTATGGAACAAGACAACTTCCCCCCAAAAAGTGAAAAAAATTATGTCTCCCATTTCATTCAAATAAGTATTCATTCATTAGACTTCCAGTTACTATAGGTGTAAATAAGACACCAGAAATTACTCTGGATGATCAACAAGATTTACAGGTCTAGGTCTAGAAATGGTTATAGTACAGGTCTAGAAATGGTTTGAAGTAATCAGATCATAAAGAATACAGTCATTAATGTCTACATTAATGCTATCACAATTTAGCAAATGAGAATTACCTTGACTTGAGGAACCTCTGACATGTGTCCACAACATGTTCCATTTGCAAGTAAAGGGCGGTGCCCATAACGGCCATAATGCTACTTTCCCTCAAGCTAAGCCGTGATGTATACATGAAATCAAGGAGTACTCGGAAGCCTTCTGCACTAACTTCTGGATCTAAATTTATGATGTTCATGTTGCACTTCATCTGGTCAGTGAAGATTGTGTAGAACAGCCCACTTTGAAGGAGAAAGACATATTTTATAGAGATAATAAAAGGCATCTGGTTCATGCATTCAAATAATTACATATCATATGGTTACAAAATAATCACTTCATTTCATGAAAACCTAAAATAATGTCAAACCGCTTACTAGTATATATAGTTAAAGCCTCCATTCCTCAATATTTTTAAAACCTTATCACAAATAAGCAGCATTGCTGTGCATTATTTATAATTTCATCAGTTTCTATACAGATAATCTTACATTTCTAAATTGGCAAACACTTGGCACTGGCTATAAACCATATATTCCATAAATTTATGATTAAGAGTCTATTGCACTATAGATTCTACTTTTCCCAAATTTAACACAAGTTTATGATTCCAGCTGAAGAAGTCATTTTGCAAACCATCTTCAGTAAACAAATGTCTACATGTTCCTTTGCAACCTTTACTATGAGTTTACATTTTTGTTGTACGCACAACAACTCACCTGCAGGCCATGAGGACAGTTTTGTGAGCACGAAAATGTTCTCTGTTCACCACTATGATAACATCAGTCAAGATGTCCCTACTTCGAAGGCGGTTTAAGTTCAGAAGAACATCACTTGCATGTCGCGTGAACTGGATGCAACTGTCAGTTGGGGATGCCATAGTGTGCCCTTTTCTAGATTAAAAAAAAGAAATAAATCATAACGCATTAGAAACACAGAATAATTGTAGAGCTCTTTGCTATTACTAGTGCATGCAAAACCTCTCTGTATATGTGCAAATGAAAGTTTTGTTTTTTTTATGGGAGAAATATGCAGTTTCAAATACTTTTCTAACTTCCACTTCTGGTGGTTTTGGTTATTTATGGTGTAGTGACTATGTGAACAATGAAAGTAGGGTAAAGTGCAGGTGCAGATATTGCTGTTCATGAAAATACAACATTTAAAAAAAAAAAAACAGGCAGCATAAACAAACACTTACCCAAAATCTCAATTCACAATCCAAATTCCTGTTTGAATGCTGGAAAACACAAAATAAATAGAATATGTTTTAGATTGTTGCAATTTTTTCAAGACTGATCAAAGTCAACAGGCTCATCAATTCACAAGCAAGAACAATTTGTTTTATTCTTAAATAAAATAATAAACCAGACAGGTATCTCTATCCCATAAGCTGAAAATGTTACTAATAATGAAAAAAAAAAAATTAAAAAAAATACCAAATTGTTCTTGAGGATGAATGTCTTATTTACTATATTTCATTTTCCTATTCTATATCCAGACCTGTATGTATGTATGTGTATTATTTTTTTTTTTTATTGAGAATCAAAATGAGATCCTGTGTCGGTCCTGAAACTAATTTTGTATTTTAATCTAAAAGCTAGATTTCACCTTGTTTTTCTAAGGAACTGTGAAAATGAATCACTTCCCTTGTCTTGTGGCTTTGTCCAACCTACACTAAAACACAAGAGCACAGTCACTGACTGTGTATCAGGTAAAAACTGCCAGTGACATTACCATGTAACCAGGTTTCTGCCTTGCCCCATTCCTCTTAATGCCAGACAAGGTTAAGGCAGGTTTTTGTTCCACTTTTCAATAACTTGTTCCTCTTTAAAACAAACCATTGGCTATCTTGAAGAAATTAACTTTTTTCTTCTTATGATTTTTTTTTTTATCCCCTCCAGCTGCACATTAGTGAATTGGTGCTCTCCTTTCTAGCACTGTAAGCATGCTACAGAAATGTACCCATCTTTGGTAGCAAACAAAATGCATCTTTTGGAATTATATCTATATGTTTTTATAATTGCAGTAAACAGTATAGCAAGAGGTGTCCTTTATATCTGTTTGTGGTTTACAGATGTTCATGGCTTTTACACTGCCATTGACACTCCCACACTCTTCCCTTGTGTCCACTTTAAGGGTAAATTTATAGTAAATGCATTTTACAGAGCTGCATTGCTTTTAAGTGCTCCGTTTAAAGTGACGTGTGTGGTTTTAGAGTGTTGTGGGACCAGGTAATATAAAAATAATTTTACACACAGAGCTGCATACAAAGAATTGTATATAACATAATAAAATTTCACATAAACATATATAGATATACAAAACAAAAAAAAACAAAAATGGAAAAAACACTAGAAATTGCCTAAGGTCTTGATTGTATCACTTTAAAATATTCTAAGCAGTGCTAATTAAATGAAATAATCTGTTTGAAAATAAATTGGAGAAACAAAAGTACACAATAATAGGAAGCAAGTTACCTTCTATATAATTAGTTGGGTTCTGTCCATATTCCCTGACTGTAGAGCATTAACTGGTTTGCACTCTGTTACTGATGTTTGGTTTACACACAACCTGCCCACAGATGCTGTAAGTTAACATTATTTTCTAACAAAGAAAGGGGAGGATAGTGCTGGGAAATGTTTTACACTCTCTGCGATTACTTTACCCAATAACTTCCAAAACTATGTGTTTCCTGGAAAGCCAGCCTCGGACTTAGAATGCCTTCAGCCCTCTTCCCTTCTAGGATTGCCAAGTAGATCTCCAAACACAAAATTGAATCATTATTCCCATCGTAAAAGTTAATACCGCTTTAAGGGATATTTTTAATAAGAGAAGCTGCTGGTAGGATACGTATATCTATATCTAGTTCATACGTGAATGGACGGACTTGGGAAAAATTTACTTTTTATTTATTTTTTTCCTCAATTTTACTATGTAACTATGTAATGCATGCCTGGAATGTAACATTTTTTCACTATGTTGATCTTCCATAGGTGAGCAGGCTAAAAATAACTTTTCTCTGCTTAAGTGATTATGAAAACATAACATTTGCTCCTAGCACAGAAGCACTTGATTCAGCTTAACTAGAAGCACAGAGAATGTGGCCTTACAGCTGTTGTCATTCGAAATTTTCAAGAAACTCTGCAAATGATTTATTTTCCTGGTTTCAACCAAGGACTGCAGCCCCATCAGATCTGACCTAATCCCTGCCATTTCTCTGGCAACTGTACGACTACAAATATAATCTACAATCCCATAGGAACAATTATCCTACCCAGAAATTCCACCTTGCCAAAATATAACATAGCAGGTGTCAGCATGTTTGACAAGGCCTCACCAGACAATTTTATAAAGTGGCCACTACATGGCAGCATGGTTCTGCAATGACAGACTAATTTAGCATAGTGCGTTTTCCATTGAGAAGAAACAGTAGTGTTTTCTAATCAGAAAGAACAAGCAAAACAAATAACTGCTTAACTTCTCAAATGGAATAAAACCATCTTACACCTAATTAAATAATTCATGAATACACATACTTTTAATATATCAATGGTTTGTAAAAACACTGGCTTGCTCCTATACTGCTTTTGCTGAATTATGAATAACAACCATTTTCCTGTTCATCCCCCCGATAAAAGAATTTGCACCGTTCTGTGCAACTTTTTTTTTTTTACATATTTCAACAAATTAAGAAATAGAATAGTCTTGTCACTGTATCACAAACACACAGATCATGGCAGAGGGGGAGGAATTTCCTAGAGAGTTTGCACTGCTAAGAAGAACTGGCCTGGGGTCTAGATAGCAAAATGTGTTTTAACTTTGATATTTGAGAAAAAAAAATGTAATCACATAAAGGTAGAAACATTGCATTTGCTGGGTTATTATAATATTGCATTTACTTGGTTATTAAATGAGATGTAAGTGAGACACGGGTTATGTGCAAAATTCAAAAGAAAAACCCTTTTGATGCTATTCTTAAAAATAGCATCAATATCAAGATCATTGAGAGTGATGGGAGTTGTAATTCCTTAACACACACTCTGTTAGTGTTGAGAAGTAAGAGGACTAGGTTTGACTATGGAGAAGAACTTTCAAGTTCATTGGAATAATTAGTGACAAACACACAGAGCCTTCAGGGATTGCAAAGGGCAACAGGAGATCTCTGAAGTGATCCTCCTTCTTTGTTTAACCAACAACTTATAATAGTAGCAAGTACAAGAGACACAAACAAACAGGGTTATTTACTAAAGAGTGAAGTGTCCAGAATTAAAGTGCAAATTCTAGTCCTAAACAGAAGAACTGGAAACAAACGTTCTCCCAGTCAATTGTATTTAGGTTGGCTATTTTGGTCTAAAATTAATAATTCACTTTGATTTCCTAACAATTCACACTTTAGTGAATAACTAATAGATGTCTTTTACTACATAGCACTTTGTGGTGATCTGAGAACTGAATTACAAAAAAGCACATTAAAATGGTACATTTGGAAAAGCAGAATGCGATATTTTTTTAAACTCCTCTGTATTATTCAAAGTTTTGCAACTCATTTGTCTGCTCACCACAATGCACTCTTTCGTTAGTGAATATATGAATCATATCACTAGGATAGCTATGAATTAGTTAATGCTACCATCAACAAAAATTCACAAAATACATTTATCTAAACTGTACAAATGCAAGTAAATAAAACCACAAGTCGAAATTCATTTATGAGTCAGAAACTTCATAGTTTCTCTAACCTTTGAGGAAAACATGTGAGAAACTCTCATTTTGTACTCTTAATTTCCATTGTAACAGAAATGTTGCCAATAAAGCAAATTAGTCTTTTCAAGAATAAGGCTCTAGATCACATGCCCCTAACGAGATAAAGGTTTAGCCTTGTTCAGAGTTACACTTTAACTTACAATTTGCTAATCATTGACACTACTGCCGTGAATGATATGTTTGATAAAACTGGGGGGGGGAAAAATGAAATATCCAGGCACACCTGAGGTTTCCTCTAAAAAGCGGTCTTTATTTGAAACAAGGAAGTGGAGACAATGTTTCGGCTCCTCTCTGAGCCTTTATCAAAAATAATTATTTGATAAAGGCTCAGAGAGCAGCCAAAACAAATAAAGACCGCCTTTTAGAAGAAACCTCGGGTGTACCTGGATATTTCTTTGTTTTCCCATTTGATGTCTTCAAGGATTGGCCCTCCCTTTCTGGAGCACCCTGCAGGAAGTATTCTCCCCTTTTTGAGTGTGTGCATTTTACTGTTTTGTTTATTTGCAAACAATTATGTTGGATGAAACTGTCAGACAAACAACTAAGAATTACAAGAGACATAGTTCACAAAGGATGAACGGCCAAAAAGTTGTTTGTCTAAATATGTTTTTATTTGTAGAGCACTGATTTACTTTCAGAAATGAAATGGTAAAATGCTTACTTTAGGCACACTAATCTGGAAAAATGTCCTGATGGTACTTTGTTGCAAAGAAGTAGGTAGCCCAGAGTGTCTCACGATTTTCCAACCAAGATATTGAAATTAATATCAATTTAATAACAAAGCACCACTGCCTCATTGATGGCTATGCTTAGTCCAGCTCAGGTTAAATACAGTTCCTGAACTCAATTCAAGAACCATAGATAGGAGTCTTGTTTACAGAATTTTGACACAAGTTAAATCTGTAATAAACTGAATAGATTATTCTAGTCTATAGCAATGACAATAAATTGTTGCGAACAACAGCACACACATTCACAAGAAAAAGACGGCCTTCGGTAAGTAATAGCTGTATAAACAGCAGTATAAAAACAGTTATAGATATCAAGTCCAAACAGACATTCCTGCAAAAAGTTTGGATGCATTCTTTTGCAGTGACTAACTCCAGCTCCCACTAGCATCTGGTCATCGCAATGCATTTTTCAGCCACTAGATGGCAGTATTATATTCCTTTTCCAATTTTAATACTCCTTCCCATTATGAGTGCACACAAAAATATTATAGATTAATTAAACACATGCACTTTTTCTAATGTTTTGCATTTTCTCACAAAAATAATAAATATTTTATAATCTTTTAAAACTGACACAAACATACAATTTCTTCACCACGATCTTGTGGTCCCAAAAGAGTGGTCATGGAATAAAACTGCGAACAGACAACTTGTGTCGTTTGCAATGACTTTCAATGGAATTCCTTACTTAGTGGCAATTCTGTAGGACCTCTTTATCAAATAATCTGAGTGCTATTACTATAATTGTAGTCCTACTGAGGACAGACAGGAACTAACAAAACTGAGAAACATAGCTTCCTCCTTTTTTTGTATGCCATAAGAATATGAAACCCATATTTCTTATTTTTTGGCTTCTGACACACGATCTTCAAAATAATGCAGTATTACAGAAACATCTTTCTAATTTGTGAGTTTTCAGTAAATAGCAGGGAATTCATTCCCAGCACACCTTCATTTCTCAGTGGGGACACAAAACTGAGTCTCAGATGTTTAGAACAAGCAAAACACATTCATTGGTTGCCCACAGCAGTTTGTTTATTTAAAATATCACAGCCTTTCCCCAATGCATTGAAGAGTCCTTTGACACTGGGAACAATCTATTGAGAACATTTTATTTCCACAATTTGTATTAGTTTACAATTAGATTCCAACTGAAAATAGGTCAGTCGATTTGATAGTGTATTTGTGAATTAACAAGCTACTGCCATGTACATCATCTATGTCATTGTTAAAAGATGACTAGACAATACTCCATTTTAAATTCCAATTATATCAGGGAGTTGGCTAATTCATATAGAGGCATTCACTAACATTCCCCATTGTATCTCTTTAAACAGGTGAAATAAAAATGTTAGTGCTACAATGCTGTAGAATTATTTAGGGCTTTATACAAATAACTTATTTGGCCCCTCTGCTGCCAAACTGTAACATTCTTGGAAAACAAATGGTTAATGAGTCAGCTAATGGAGGAGGCTATAGATATAAAGTTTATCTAAAAGCAAAGAGAATGTTACCTGCGCTCGGACCTAAATCCCTATGTACCTTTAAACAATATGGAGGTAATTTGAGCTGTTGGATACTAAGCTACTGCTGCTGTAAGCGCGGTGCTTTAGCTTTGTGTTTATGAAGTATATCTGCTAGCATAAAGCTTTATGTTTTTGTTTTTGCTACTCATATGAAATAGGAGAAGAGTCAAGAAAAAAAAATTGTAAGGCTTACAGCTGGAGCACAGGAATGCGAAACCTCCACTTAACCTCTTTGCAGCCATGGTGGTGGTGGGGTGGGGAGAAGAATTTCTATCATTTAACCCTTTCATTAGGAGTCGTGTCCCTACCCAGCGAAGTTAATTTGTTTAAACATTCAAATGCATGATTTGGTTCTCTCCTTGCTTACAACACCATTTAACCAGCGTGAAACTAAATTTAGGGAACATACCATTCTAAAGAAATTGTATTAATGCCTGTCATTGTAATTCGGACCAGATGGGGTCAGCAGAGCACCACACGGCACAGAAATGTGAGCTGTTATTTACCATTATTTGGAAAATATTCTACTGTTGGGCTGGAGCCGCTTAAAGGCTGACATCTGCAAGCTAATGTTCTAGGCCATTGATAGGCAACCTTCGGCACTCCAGATGCCGTGGACTACATCCCCCATAATGCTCTTACACTCATAATGCTGGCAAAGGATCGTGGGAGGTGTAGTCCAAAACATCTGGAGTGCCGAAGGTTGCCTATGCCTGTTCTAGGCCATATATACAGCTCTTACTGAATCTGACTTCACTAACAAAAATCATTTTACCAATGTCTCTTTGGGGCGAGTACAGAACATGACCCAATTCTACCAAACATACATATGGCGCGCAGATTAGTAGCGCAAACTTTTCCACAATTCTCTCAAATATAAGTTTAATAAAATAGTCATTTAAATCAGGATTTATCAAAATGTCCCCAATAAAATGCCTCTAAGATTAACTTTATGCACCCCCACACCCCCAAAGGCGAAATGTTTAATAAGTTCCTCATTCCTAATGAACACAAAACTAATTTCTGAAATTTAGCAGGCGCCCAGATATTTCATGATCTTTCTAAAATCCGCCATGAGTATAGAATATGTATGAAGCAGCTATATAGAAACAATGATAACATTGTAACTCTATATAGTCCTTATATTATCACGGTATGCATCAGTGAAAGCGGGGTATAGGCTAATGAGCTGCTGTCTGTCATGGTGTGTAGTACATGTGTGAACTCGCTACTTGAGGTTAGTACAAACTTCACAAGTAATTCTAAACGATCTATTTCTGCCTCTGAGAGTGACACATTAGGAATGCGAATGCCAGGATTCGGAATTAGATTGTCAGGATTCGGAATAAGAATGTCAAGTTTCTAAATATTAACCATCTTAAAACAAAGCACTGTTTGGCTAAATGATTAGATCGGAGTGCTAAACAGCATTTCTAACCTCGAACCTTTCTCAGAGAAACCTACCACGTAAACTGGCATCTACAGGGTTAACATTATTCTGCTTATTCCCACATTATGCCACATAGTAATCTAGGTCACAACGAACAACAAATGTCCAAATTTAGTCTCTCTTTACAGGTTACCCACCAGGAGGTTACCCGATTTTATTATTAACTCGTGATTCTCATTCTGTCATGTTTGCAGCGAAGTATAGAAAGTTGGGAATAATCACGTTTACACTTTGAGTGCTATAGGTGCACCCAAAACATGAGCACTCTTCACACCTACGGCACCCAAAGGGTTAGGGAAAAACAACCCAACAAACATCTATGATTTCTGCTTAAGTTAGAAGTATGCTAAGTTTTGCAATCTATTGCCCTATTCTGGGCTTGAAGGGTTAATTGACTATTTGGGGGCACCCCCTCCCCCTACCCCTGCCTGTTTGAGGAGGTCTCTGTCCTACAGACATGGATGGCACTGAGCTCAGATACCTCCAGGAATAGCGTGTGGAGCAGAGCCAGCACTCCTTCACTTTGGGAGGCTGATTTACGAGTCTCACTGGCTGTGCCAAGCTTCTTCATAGTAAACAGTGAGCACACAGGAGGGCGACATGGGCATCGCAGTCTGTCTTCATCCCTTGCGATAATACCCTCATAAATAACCCATGTGCCCGCACATAGGAGCACGTCTACAGTCATGTACTAACATATGCTCCATGCGATCAGCCTCTGCAATAATATTTTACAGGCCTTTTATATATAGACATATAGAAAAATATACATAAGAAATAAATTTATATATAAGCGCATTTATCATTTTGTGATGTATAAAAATATGTGTACACTTATTTAAGTGATATAAATGTATTATTAAATAAAAACATTTTTTTTGACACTTCGAAAAAAGAAAAAAAAAATCCAAAATATTCCAGTCGGACTTTAAACATTAAAAACAGAGGCAGTTCCAATAATGAGATCTTTTACTTTGGCATTTTAATCCCCATAACGGTCATTAAGACTGGACAGGGGATCCGGGAACATTAGGAGAAAACGTTAAATCCTTATAATCCCCCACTTTCAGAGTTGTGTAGCGAGCGAGACACATGTAAACAGGGGGAGAGGCAGGAGGACCCGCGCGGGTCTGGAGTAGCCACTAGCCCCCCTAGCCAGTCACTGGCACACCGAGCGGCCTCACTCACAGAAGTTCTAAGTACACAGGGCAGTCACAAACCTCCAACACACAACTAGACATCAATCAACAGATTGCCCATGGAGATCACAAGCACAATAAGGGGTATTGGTAGCCCTGCAGCCTCATAGCCAGCACCCCCACCACCACTACCCCTCTTAGAAATGTGACTCCCAAATCAGTAGCTTTGGAAGAAGTAGAAATAAGCAGGGTACAGGTGCAAAGCCCAAATACTAAAAGCCCCGCTCCATCCCTTCCTGTATTCATATTCTGATCAGGAACAGGAGCCACAGAAATGCCATGAAAGTCTCTCCCCTGTTTATCAGACGCAGCAGGATGAGCAAGTGAAGATCAGCCTCTGCACATTCTTCAACACACACATTCACACACATGATATAGCTAGAATATAGCCATCAGACTGACTATATAACCTGCCCCTGTAGCTAGTCTGGTTGTTGCCCTGGAGCAAGTGGAGAGAAACCAGACAGAGAGAGAGAGAGAGAGAGAGAGAATGGCACTGGGAGCTGGCTGGCTGGTAGGCAGGCAGGCAGACACAGACAGGCATGGGATCTGGGAGTCCCAATCATGCTGGATCACAGACGAAATCCACAATAATGGTTTATAAACTCCAGCAGCATGCACTGTTAGCAATCCACTACTCCAATTAAAGAAAATGCATCATCAAAATATGCATCGGTCCAAGAAATCAATTTCCAATTATAAAAAATAAATAAATAATAGAAAATCATCACACATGACAAGGGATACAAAATAACACTACAATTCGCATATGTATCCATCAACAAGTAAATCCTATGCCGGACAAAAATAAAAAATAAATACAAAATAATAACCATAATAATAATGTACATATACATAATGTCTAAAGTAAAAAAAAAAAAAGAGCATAAAAAAGACAGAAGAAAACAGTCAGGGAACTTCAACTCCAAGCAATTGGCAAGTAATAATAAAAAAAAAAAAAAAAAAATAAAGAGAAAAGCGAATCACCTGGTAGGGCTTTCCTAGAAAATCTTTGCATCACCACTTCTAAGAACCCCCAGTTCTAAGAATCAACAGGGCTCAATTCTCGGAATTTGAGCTTCTGATCTTACCATTATATGCAGGCAGGGGAGGACAGAGTGTCAGCCAGCCAGCCCCTTTCACTACCCTCCAGCCCACAGAGCTTGTTCTAAAGCATCCACAAGTCACCTACATATCTCTGAACCCCTAAATAAAATATGGGGATTTCAGGGATTCCCTTTAGGAAAGGATCTGGTGTAACCTGGGCATTTTAGGGGCACACTCAGCCCCCTGGTAGACTTGGTATCTCCCGGCTGGATGGGTCACATGGTATGCTTAGGGCTCTGACGTAGGCTTTTAGCATGGAAGCCCAGCCCAGAAATTCTGAGAACTAATTTGCTATTCTGTGACATAAGACAAGGGGTCCGGGCTCTGTTCTGTAACTGTGTGAAGCACATAAGCCTCTTTCTACACCCAGCACACAGGGGGACACACTGGACAGGGCACACCAATAAAGACTCCTTCTATACAATAAAGCTCCAAAAGACAGATTCCATAGCTCAGGGTGAGGGGTGGCATTCAGGTGGGTTATTTTTTGTTTTGGAGGGGATCCCACTACCTCCACAAGGCCCATACACTCCACAGGACTGGGAGATGAGCAGCTGGATCCCTATTGAGAGTCTGGATGTGAGATCTATGCTGTATCATCCCGATTCTGCACACTGAGATGATTTATTTTTATCCAAAGTTCTAATTATTTTGTTTTTGTCTTTATTTTTTGTTCCTGTTCCCTGGGAGGGGGACACCCAGCATTCAGTGAAAGCTGTCAGTGGATTTGCTTGGCATTCCTATTTTCCCATGGACTAAATGTGGTATGGTATTTGCTGTAATCAATAACCATAAATCAAGGGTCTTATCACTGTGATAGATCAGATCAGATCAGAGCTGAGCATTTATTTTCCTTAGCTCTGAACATAGATGCATGTTTTGTCTTGAAATGTTTTAATGTCGGTATGCTTTTGTATTATAGCTGTATGTTATGAAACTTGACTGTATGTCTGTCTATTTATTCCATTAAATATGTTACATTACTGGGAGCACACTGCTTAAAAAGCCCAGAGAATCAGTGCTGTAGGCGGGAGTTTTTTTGCCCTGGGAGGGAAAGTTTATAGAAACTACTCTATAAACCAGAATATATGTCTTCATTTGTCTGTTTGGGTGCATGGGTGGGGCTTGACTGTCTACAGGAACTAGACATATACAAATTTATGTTCAATGACATTTACAGACAGCAGTGTTCCTGGCTGGGCAGCCCTTAACCTTTTCATTACCACTCAGACCACTACAGCCGGAAGAGTTAAATTTATAGCACTGTACAGATACACTGAGAGTGTGCTGAGGGAGTGTGTGAGGCTGAAAAAGGAGCATAACTCTTACATCAGTAGCCGGAAACAGGATTACAGCCCAACTAATCAGATTGTCCATGGTTTTACATTGCAGTCTGTGCCTATAAATTGACAGCTTTAAAATGTGACACACACAGCTTAACCCATTCAGTGCCAGGAGGTTGCAGATCATTCTCGTGTTCCAAATTAGTATGACCTAACAGATGTTGTGTGTCATGGATTTGAGGATTGTACTCTATACTGCTTTTCAGGCAGAGATACAAAGTTTAGCTATAGTTTACATTATCATGAAAGTTGTATCACCTTAAAACTTTGCAGTGATAGTCTAGCTAAACTGATAAGAATGTTGGAAGATGGACCTCTGACTTCAGCGAAGTTCATTCTGCAGGCCTATGTCACCAGCTGTTAATTAACTCAATAAAGTCTATGTGAGGTCTTCTCATTTAACCAGGAAATTTGAAAAGATCTGCAAATTTTAGGCCAAATTTGAAACTAAGCCAGTTTGGTTATTTTAGTTTAAAATCTGCAGCCCCTTGGTGAGTAATCCAAATTTCTGCTTTAGTGAATACGGTCATGTTCCACTAAATGAAAATTGTTGTTTGATAATGTCTGTACGTCATCTTGTGTGTATCAAAATGTGGTTTTAATTTACAGAATAAATCTGAACAGTCTTTTATACTCTGTGCGTAGTGTTGATTCGTCATTCCTATCCACTTGTTATTTATAACATGGATTAGCTGTTGATATGTTGTTAAGTTGACTAGGCTTCAGTTTATTGACACACTATTACACTGGGATTTCTTAATATAGTATTCTAAAAATGGTTTGGCATTACCCTTGTTTTTAAGGTGGCTATAACTAAATAATGAACTGCATAGAATATAGATAGAAATTGCAAAACGTAGGGCACATAGCCATGATGGGTAGAAAATTCTCAAACTCAACAATTCTTCCAGTATTTCACTTTGGCCTATATTCTGCACTTTACTTCCTACTGAACACAGTGGGAAACAACAAAAAAAACATTAGATTGGATACTTCTGCTACTATTTGTTAATGTACAGAGTGTTTTAGGCCTCTTTCATGTTTGGATATTTCTGTTTTGGTTTTTATTTATTTATTGTTTTTTTTATTTTTTTTATTATCACGTAGAACAAAATATTGCGTCATTACTCTGCAGAGGGAACAAACTATCACGCCAAAGCTGAACATGGCAGAGAGAATATTTAACACTTTATAGTGATATTGACTATTTTCGGAAGTATCATTTTTAAGCATATCATCACTACTAAATGAAACTGTTTTTATATCACGTGCAAGGATTCTGTCAGTCTGTACATACCTGCGATTTTAATGTGATTTTTTTTCCTACCCTTTCTTCATGCATAATTAAAAATATATGTTCTGGAAAATCGGGTAGAGCTATAATTTTAGCCAATGCAGAAGTCCTATGCACATCTGCCTGTTGCCATATATCTCTATAAAAACCTATGAAGGTTACCAGCTTAATGCCATCTGAGTGTCTGCCTTTTTAAATGCCCTTCGTGCACTTGATCCTATTGAAGTAGGAATAAGCTGTTTCTGATCCTTCTCACAAGCAGAATATAATAGACAAGCACTGGTACTTTTCCATTGAGATCAAGTGTTGCTTGACTTTTTTGTACTATACATGTTAACCCACTAAATCAGTGGTTCCCAACCCAGTCCTCAAGTATCACCTAACAGTCCACGATTTAGGGATTACCCTGTTGTGTCTAAAGTGGGTTTTTTTGTTTTTGTTTTTTCAAAAACACCTTAGACACAATAGGGTAATCCCTAAATTCTGGACTGTTATGGTATACTTAAGGACTGGGTTGGGAAACACTGCCCTGAAGGATGCATGACAAAATAATTCTGTCATGGTTGTCCTACCCTTAAGGATCCAGCAGGACTATTTCCCTTCTTTTTACTGCAAAACCCCAGGAATCACAGGTAACCCCATATCAGCAACGTTCAAAGTGAACACTACACACAGCCATTTAAATCAACGTGGCTGATCTGCTGGATTACATCAACAGAGAGAGACATACAAATTCCTCTGCTACCTCGTCTCATCTCCCCATTTTAACCTTTAGATTGTAAGCTCACGGGCAGGGCCCTCTACCTGTTGGATCGGTCTGTTCTTATTGTGTTGTCTTTTTCCCAGTTATACAGCACTGTGGAATATGTTAGCATTTTATAAATGCGATTAATAATAATAATAATAATATGTGGGATCTGAATAGACCACAATGCGGTTCTCCCTTTAAGTCCCCTGAAGCACGATCACTGCCTGAAGAGGGTAATCAATGTCCGGGCTGTGCAAGTTGCCTAGCATAGATCACTCTTTGTGATTACATTGATAGAAGGGCTTTAAATCACATCATGACAATTTGTCACTATATGATTTAACAGCAGAGAAGAAAGGTATTTAAATTATTTCTCTCATGCTGCTGTTGTCAGCAAGGAAATCTCTTTACTGACATGATTATAGGGAATCCTTCTAACACTATTGCTAAGGTTAGGGTTTAGGTTAGAGTTAGGGTTTAGATTAGGGTTAGTTAGTGTTAGTAGGTGGGGTTAGTGTTAGTGATTGGGGCTAGATAGTGTTTAAGGCCTTGGTGTTAGTGTTTGGGGTTAGTTAGTGTCAGTAATTAGGGTTAGTTAGTTAGTGGTTAGGCATAGTGTTAGTATGTAGGCTTAGTTAGTATTCATGTGTAGGGTTACAGTTATGGTTAGCATTTAGGGTAAGTGTTAGTGTTATGGTAGCATTAGGGGTGGCAGCATAGACCGATACCAACCACTCATTTAAAAAAAAAAAAAAAAACCTGCAATATGAAGAATTTGGCGCTGTATCCTTGCATAATCTTTGCAAAGGTGTATATAGGGAGTATTGTACTCGGGAGATGTAGCTGAGAACAGTTTAGGGCTCTACTACAGAGGCACACAAATGCGATTTAAAAAAAAGCATGCCATGTATGGTATATGTAAAAAATATGTAAAATAAAAAGTACTGCAAAGTTTGAAAGAAAATAGTGAAACATGGCAGCTCAATACAACTTAATAAATGATGTTAGGTTCCATGGTGTCCACGATTGAAAATGATATGTATTTATGAAGTAATTTAAATGCTTGGGCTGCTAAAGTGCCCCAAAGTGTACCAAGGACCGATCTTCAATTTTACCTTTTTGTATTTTTTTTTTTAAACTGCACGGCGCGGGTTATAAACTCATCCCCCTATTTTTACAAAAACTTGACAAAGGTGTGCAGAGGTGGTCATTCTGTATTCGGGAAATATATAGGAGCACAATTTAGTGATTTTTTTTACAGCAGCACAATTCAAGTTTACAAATTAACCAGTAATTTACAATGTGCATGTAAAATAAATTGAAAATAATATGTTATATCACACTTTGAAATAAATTGGTGAAAGATGGCTGTTAAATAAGGCTGAAAATATACCACATGGCAATGGCATAACCTGTTGGTATCAACGTTTGCAAATTATATGTATATATCAGTAATTTAATCTGTCTCACAGATAAAAAGCTCCAAAATGAGGAATAGGCCCATCAAATACACCTATCAAAATTCAAACTGTAAAAATTGAAATAGTCAGGTCTCTCACATGGCATTGTGACTTCACAAGATTGTGGCAAATAGGGGGTAATTGTTTTACTCAGAACAGTTAGCTGAGCATAATTCGGAATGTATAATAATAGTGGTATGTATCAGAATTACAAAATCCCTAGCAAATATTGAAAATGCATGTAAAAAAAAATAAAAATACTACAAACGGACTTTAACTGATGAACGCATGGTGGCACAATAAGGTACAATATATTCCATACGGGGTCCCGTGGAATGCCTGCTTTCATAAATTGTAGGCCTTTGTGGGGTAATTTGAACAGTCAAACTGCTGCCCCAAAATGATACATAGGCCTGTCAAAACATATATCAAAATCTAACTGTAAAAACTGAAACAGTCAGGTCTCTTCTATAGCACTGCAGTTTCACAGTATCGTGATAAATGCATACATTTGGACTATCATTGTACTCAAAAGATGTAGCTAAACATATTGTGGTGCTTTGTACAGGAGTAGCACACATCCGGTTTACAAAATACACATAGAAAAAAAACTATTTTATGTTTGTATGTAAAAAAAAACCACACAAACAACAAAATTGTTGCAACTTTTTAAAGAGATTGGCAGTTAAAATGTCAAAATAGCTTTAGGTAAATACCCTGTGATGTCTGCTTTATATAAATATATATACTTTTGTGCTGCTATTTTGTTTTCTGTGATAGCTATTAAAGTTTGAAGACAAACTTATCAAATTCTAAAATTACTCCACATTGAAATTGTATTTTACGCCTTGTATTTTGTGACCTTATATAACAAAAATAAAACTAAAAAATCCTAGACATATCTACAGGACCAAAAAAATGAATGTATTTTGAATTACTTCTCTTTAGCTGCACTAAATATACACATTTTTATTGATAAAAATGTGAACAAAAATGTTGTTTTGCATTTTTTTTAAATTCTTTTCATGAATGAGATTTTATATATGTATATGTCACATCAAATTAAATTCCTTTTTATCCTTTAGAAATTGGTAAATAATTGTAGTTGAACACACACATAGCAAAAATGACAAATTTACTTGTGTCCTGTAGTACAAAATAAGCAAAGTGTCCTTAAGGATTAAAGGGCGTTTGCATTACACTCCAACCATTGGGAGCATTCCACCTGAGTCGAAGGCAATAACACAGTCTGTGCCCAGCAGTGTAATGTGGGATATGTGTTTACAACATTCTATCCATTTCATTAACAAATGTGATACTGCAGCTATGGGCCCTGGATAATCAATAACAGCAACCTGTTAAACACAGGTCTTGTCAATTTTTAACTCGGCATACAAAGTGCAAAGTCTGAATATTGGGTTGGATGAAATTGCTTAACTAAAATTATAAATGCAGACCTGCAAACCTTTGTAAAAAAAATGCAAACAGCAAGAGGTTATTCAAGATTAATTAAATCAGAGGCAGACTCGTGTTCATTTGTGACAAATAATTAATTCCCTCAACTCTTTTTTTTTTTTAAATACAGTTCATAAACAATATATAAGTGTGTGTGTGTGACATAGAAGATCCAGCGCACTCGCTTATTTACTAAACTGCAATTTCAAGTTTCACAGAATGTAATAGTTTTATTTTTTAAAACCATCTCACCAAGGCAAAAAAATAATGGGAGTTTAGTTACAGTATATCATCATACATTGCATTAACCTGCCACAACATCATATGTGTGTGTGTGTATATATATATATTTATTTAAAACATGTTATCCTGCACTGGAGGACTGTTCCAGCGAACCTCGAAAAAGATAGCACTCCTAAAACTTCTTAAAATATTTTTTTGTACTTCGGATAATCCTAGGAGTGCTGTCCTTTTTTTGGTTTTCATGGATAGATAGATATATATATATAAGCACTCACAATCTATCTGATTAATACCCATTTTATGTGCTTTTACAAGCAATAACATAACATTGAATTATAGAATTTATGGAATATATTAATATTATTTTTCTAAAAACTGTGTGATTGTTCCACACATCTCATGATAGATAGATAGGCAGACAGACAGAGAGATAGATATTGACATACAAGAAGCATTGTAGTTTTTATTTACTCTCAAATACAGGTCGCCTCAATTAACCCTGTTTTATGATGGGAATGGATATGAATAAAAGCTTTCAAAGAAATTCTACGAACTGTTACTGATAACAGATTTACCACAGCAACTATAGTCATTCATTTCTTTCTTGCATCATATGTATCCAGTGTGATGTCACAACATTTTTGCCTAGTGCACACACACACTACCTCAGAGTTCCTGTTTACATACTCTGTTTTGTCACTTTCCTATTGCTGAAGAAATAATCTTCATTTATTTGTCTGCTATTGCACTTTTTCTGTATTGTAAAAATACAACAGAATTATATGTTGAGAAGTGAAGATATTTCAAGCATTATACATTCTATAAATCTAACTATCTATCTGTCTGTCTGTCTGTCTATCTATCGCTCTGTCTGTCTCTCTGTCTATCTATGAAACACTGCAATTTTTCAATCATTTACAGATTAGATTAACAAGATTAGTGTTGATAAACAGGTATGGAATTTATTTAGCCGTTATAATCAGTGATCTTATTTGCAGATATAGTAAAATAAGAAAAATAATGAACTATGTAAAACCTCATTACTCATTTTGCTTTAAACTCCAACAGTATAAAACACAGCTGTGTGAATGTGTAAAATTGTTTAATTGTACACACCTATACTCAGATATACATTTATATATATATATTTGTGTATTACAGTTCACATCTCTACCTTAAATCCTATCCTAAAATGTTACGGAAAAGCACAGAGAAGGTTTCATGCCAGAGTCAATATTAATTGCAACATCAAAGTACCTTTTTAATATTCCAAAGATTGTAACAGGTTTAGCTGGTTAAATATGTATGTAGGACAGTTGAAAGTTTAATGGAAGGTGTGTTAGTTATTGTAGTTAATACTTCATTTAATGCAAATTTACTTCTCATAACTCTAAATAAACTTTGATTTCAATACTGCCATACACTGGTAATGGTAGGATATGGATTTTCTGTCTGTTAATGGAGATGTAGTAGGGGTGAACAAAAAGCAAGGCGATGGCCTGATTCAAGATCACGTTAATTTAGAAAAAAGTTTTTATAGTTGACCAATTAGGAGTACATCAGTAACAGTTTACTGACCTATTTGTTTACTAGCATGGATATAAAAACAAGAAAGTCTCTTATTCAACCTGGTGGAATATTCGCTAAGCATGAGTTTGTGATGAGTTGGCAAACGTGTTCCAACTTTTAGGCCAAAACAATTTCCAATTCTGAAGTATATTCACAGTATTAGGACTCATTAACCAATTTTCAAAACGTCTAGCATGCAGGAGAAACACCCTTACCTCCGGTTGGACGGTTATTCATAGGACAGACGAAAAAAGTTACTAAACTCAGGATAGGGTGCCAAAGAATAGCCCTGCATCAAGGTTACTCAAAAATATAGGCTGATGAAGTTTCTAAACAGGAAAGTAGTGTGCATGTATACCATATATGCTTGTGTAATTAAATTATATATATGTGTGCAATATGTGAAAAGTGGATGGAAATGTAAAAAAAATTAAAAATACAGTATTGTATATGCTATTGTGATTTCAGATTTGTTGGGAAATAATGATCACTCACATATCAGAGAGCAATATGTTCTGATTTGTTTAAAAAAATGTTTCCCCAAAATGTGTTCTTGCATCCTTTAATAAGGTAAAAAAAAAAAAAAAAACAATGGACCTATGGCAAGATTGATAGTCTACAGGTTAAAATATAGTATAATAAAGCCCACATAGCATGAAACATAAAGGCCTCACATTAACATTTATCTTTTATCTAGATAAAACTACAGTCTGTCCCTGATTAATACAATGTAGCATTCTTGGCAATTTTGCTGTATGACAATCCAATATGGCTCCTGGTTGCTTTCTTGTTATTTATATTATATCTCCAACAATGTGAATTTTTGGCAGCTCTACTCGTTTCACATAAAGCTGTACACACGCTTTCTCCTTATATATACATAAAGCAAACATACTACAAACAAATGAATAAATCAAAACTCATTGAAACCATTATTGGGAAAGTCCACTGCAGTGGAATCTGAACATTTTGTTCAGTTGATTAAAGCACCAAATAGTATTCATTTCAAAGTTCACCTATTACAGTTTTGTGTGTATAGCACACATATTTCTATAACTATATAAATGCTGCATATTTTATTTTAGTTACTTGATTCTGCTTGGAAAAATAGTGTGAATACGGGATGGCATTTAAGAGTTTTCTTTCACAACTAAGCACCTGGTTTAATTATAATAATATTTTAATTTGCAATGTACGGAAGAAGCGTCAAAATGTAAGCAGAATACCAAACAAAAGCCAAGTTTCTAGATTACTGATACAATCAAGCAAGCAGCTGAGATTGTTCTGATGTTTTCTAGGGAGGTTGCGTAAGAGAAAGGTGCATGTATTTAATTGCACACGAAACGTGCTCTGAACTGGGACAAGATACAAACATGAACTTATTAATTCTGTAACCACAAGGAGTTGTGACGCACATTGAATAGCTAGGAGGTCAACATTTAGGTTAGAGGGCACGAAACAGAAGAATCAAAAAAAGCAAATCAATAACAACAATTACAAATAAAAGAAAACAAACACAGATACCTTAGAATCCTTAATAACTACGGTAGGACCACATTCTCTCACCCAATGGGCATGTAGGTTGGTATTAGTAGCGATTGGTAATTAAGAGGTACAGGCAGAATGCAGATGAACAATGGTGGTTTGCCTTATTCAATAATTGTGGGGTCAGTTAGGCCCCTTAAGAACAGTAGGAGGCTCACTGCCTTCAAGTAGTGCGGATTTAGGGGTAGGGGATTGAGCAGGTCTCCCCTTGTTTAGTAGAGACCCCCCTATATTTTATTAACCTTAGATCCCACATACAGTTGAAATACAGTTGACACATGTACATTGTTTTTTGTCTCCAGTCTGACGTGAACACTGTGAGCAGTTGATTAACTGCACCCTGGTTTTGTCCAGTTATTTATTATTTTTTTATTCATATTTTATTTTATTATTATGCTTTACTCTTGTCTCACTGGAAAGACAGTCATGTAGCTTTTTATGCCTGGCACCAATCTTGAATGGATTTTCCTTCAAAGATGACCAAACGATATCAGTGGGATTTTCAGGTCTACTAGCATTAAACGAATTACCAAGGTCAGTTTGGGTAATTTTCTCCCCATACTCCGCTAATAATTGGGCAGACTAGATGGGCCGAATGGTTCTTATCTGCTGTCACATTCTATGTTTCTATGTTTTTATTAGCAAACAACACGAGGATGGGTTGGCCTCAAACCACCATTTAATAATGGCTAAAACTACTTTTTTCAACCTTCATTACATAAACAGTTGTTGAAGAGACAGGATTTACTATGCAGACTACACAGATAAATGGATGCAGCAGTTCTTTCTTTGAAGGCATGAACCTCTGATTTCTCATACTTGCCTAACGTACATAGACAAATACACATTTTGCAGATTTACTTCTTTCAAAGCTGTGACTTTCACTCAGAAGGCCAAGCACTAATACTCTGACTTATGTAGAGCTTTAGTTCAATTTTAATCAGCGACCAAATATGCTAACAGTTTGTCATGTTTACAAAAGGTGTCTATATTATATTTATACAAGGGACTCTCAGGACCAGTATTTGTTATTCTCTGAGTACTTGTAGAAGTGTGAATACAGTACAGTAAATATATACCATTCTTCAATAGGTTTCATAAAAGTGAAAAAAGGAGAGAGAAGGGGGGTGCTCAAAGGTAATAATACAATATTATACTTATATTAGTACATCAATAATAATACGATCCATATTTCACTGGGTCAATCTGGAAGAAATAAACAGAATATACATAGCATAATACTGTAAGGGAGAATTATACACCAACAGTGTAGAGGTAATGGGTCACTCACGATCTGTAGAGCCTTAAATAGCAGGCTCTAACTGTAATAGCTTGTCAAGCAATCTGCTTCTCCCAGCTATGTTGACTTGGAATTCCTCCAGATGCTTTATCCAACCATACCACGACTATCACAGCCAAATGGGTAGGGATATAAGAAAACTTTTATTTTGACATATAGTAAAATAAAAACATACAGGGCACAACGCGTTTCGACTTCCGTCTTCTTCAAAGGTGCATATAACATAACAGTTCCCAGTCTCATTTAAATAGATCCTATTCGGAAATTGAAATTCCCGGGTAAAACTCTCGACTTCCGCATTCCGACGTCACTTCCGTGTTCTGCCGACGTTGCTTACGTATTCGCCGTCATCACGTATTCAGTCTTTTGACGCGGTCTGCTCTTTGACCCGGATGATGTTACATACAGATGCCATCTTTGAAGATGGCATTTCAGTCCATGTAAATCCACTCATATATAAAAGATACAATCAGTAACAAATAATAAAATACATTAATTAATATCACAACGATCATATCTACAACATTTTATTTTATGTAAGCCACAATATAGGGAGAAGTCATCAACATATAAAAAATAATATATGAAAAATATAAGAAATATAAAAATATATAAAAAAGTTTGATCTAGAAACCTTGTCCCTGGGCGGACTCAATGTGGACTTTGAGATGGCAGCCCTCATATAATACTATGAGATATAGATATATATATCATACTATTTTTATTACTCTTTGGATATCAATATATTTTTATACTTAATGTTTCTATATTGGCCTTATGGATATTTATATATATATAGATTTTTATCTTATATATATATATTTTTTTTTTATATATTTCTTCCAGATTGACCCAGTGAAATACGGATTGTATTATTGATGTACTAATATAAGTATAATATTGTATTATTACCTTTGAGCACCCCCCTTCTCTCTTCTTTTTTCACTTTTATGTACTTGTATAGTGCCTTTGGTGATTTTTTTGGCACTTGGGGGTAGTTGCTGTTCTTCACTTTACTATTAGCGCCAATCCACCTGTATATATTTCTTGGCTAGGAAATATATTTTGTTTGTTTATTCAATAGGTTTCATGATGATCTGTTAACTGATTAAACACTTTGCTGGGAGTCGTCCCTATGTACAATAATATATTCTTAGGTAATGTTTGCTACTTTGTTTTCAAAATGGCTTGACTATGTTAGTAACTGACATACTAAATTTAACCTAGTCATTGGAATATGTATGCATACGCTTAAATATGCAAAGCTAAATGACAATGGCAATTTAAAGGTTAACTGATCTTAACCACGATTTGCTCAATATTTATTTTGTCACTGCATTTTCAAATTCTGTTTACTTTCTAGGGAAAGTCTATTTACAAACTAGCATCTTAAATATTTTTTGTCAAGGAAATATTCTGCAGGTCTGTTTACTAGTTAATGATAACCGGCTTGCACTATTTAGGCCAAAGTTGCTGAGATGGGAAAAAAAATCAGCAACTCTTCAGCTAAATTGTAATTTTTTGCTTTTTTGTGAGCTCGGTTTATTTGGGCTAAATTCAACTTGGTTTTCAAAGCTAATTGTATAGAAAATCATCCTTATCTATGAAATGACAATGATTGTAAGCAATTCTGTTTTGTACCGGAACAGTGCTCCTGTATCTTGAAAAATGTGGCATAAAATATGCATCACTGGTCACTGGTAATGTAAGGCATTAAGAAATACAGGTATAAAAGCCTTTTAAGACTGTTAGTGTACGAGTACTTTTTATATTTATTTGCACATTGTAGGCAATGTTAGTGAGTGGTAGTGATCATACATTATTTTTAGTGGACCAAGACTTTTTTTTGTCATGTTATACAGATATTTTACCAACCTAAGGAATGTATATATAATGAAACCCCATTAGGACTTATATACCATCATATTACTGAATTGCATTATTTAAGCCAATATAGCTGTTAGGTTTTTGCAGTTTGGTTTTTAGTTCACAATACTTAACCTGTTCTGGAATCCTATGAGATTAAGTTAAATAAAAGTCATCCTGTCTTATACAGCACCTTATTTATTTACACAATGCAGTTCATCGAAGAGATTCCAGTTTCTCTTTAATAAACAGAAATCTTCATGCTTTACTATCAAGCACTTTGTGATTGAAAAAATTCTTAGTATAACATTTATGAAAAGCAAAATATGCAAAACTAGAATAGAAACATAACAAAACAATTTTGTGCATAGAATTCTTTATAGACATACTGAAAAATTAAAATTATCTAAATTAACACAATTGCTATTTTTCAATAATTCATCCAGCGTTTATAAAAAAATATATGGGAAACATAAGGTTTTCAACAGTATGGCATTTTTCCTAAGTCACCCTTCTTAGGACTGACAATGCCTATTTTTGACCAAATTTCTCTCCATCTTTTGTATTCTAATGTTCTTCTTTTCTAAGAGCTTCTTATTGTTTGTGTGTCTGAGTGTATAGAAGAGCTTCAAAGCAATAATAATACAATGATGTGTCTTTAAACTACAATAAAATGTTTTAATAAATCAGTGTGTATAAATAAGATACCTTGTTCTTGTTCTAAATTACATTTTAATTGCGTATTTTTTATTAGTAAATAACCTAAAATTACTCAATATAGCAACAATATAGCCACACATCATTCTTTATCTATCGCTAATGTTGGGAGGTATGTTATAAAGTGTCCTTGATTTTGAAACATTTCACACAGGGTTTACAATGTTAGTATAAAGGCAAAAATGCATTTTTTATCAAATACAGTAGCTCTGCAAAAAAGATAAATAAAAATGGTCAAATACCTTGCTTTTAGGTATTTGTAAGTACCCCAATGGCTTTACTATCAGTCCAGCTTAATGAAAACGGCAACAGAATGTGATAAGAATGTCTGCACTTAATCTAATAAAGTTATATCATATATTGCTAAAACAAAAAGGTACTAAAAACTGCTATAGCAATCCTTATTAATCTCTGGACTGCTAATGTAATGCTAACAGAGAAATGGTAGCGTCCAAACCCTCCTTGACTGTAGAAATAATATGACCCATTGAAACTCCCTTAGCTGTTTGGAGGTAGGGGGTGACCTGACGTTTTCATCACACTTGCAGGCATTAAATCAGTCACCAGTGGCTTCTGGCAAAGAAATGTTTTCCTCATGCTACAGGCTGGTAATTACCCCTTACCCCTTGTATAACTGAATAAGACTTCATGGACTAAATTCAATTCTGTAAGATACATGAAAGTAAAAACGTTTATATTCGCTACCGAATTTGATTCATACAGGATTTGTTATTAATATGTCTCTACTTTGCTCTCTTTAACCCCTTAAGGACACATGACATGTGTGACATGTCATGATTCCCTTTTATTCCAGAAGTTTGGTCCTTAAGGGGTTAAAAAAGTTCACTCAGACAAAGCATGTTCATTGTTTCTTGGACAATGAAGAGCATTCGCAGGTTGTAGTCAGTGTTTACTTCTGGGCCTGTGTTTTGAGTTGTATTTCTCTTTGCGTGATTGTTGTGGAGTTGAATTCCCTAAGTAACACAAGCAGGATTCTGGTATGTCCTATTTTTTGTCTTGTGGTTTAGCTGTGAGTCAGAGAAAAACAGAGGATACTTCTTGGAGATTCACTGACACCCTTAAATATAATATATTTTTATTATACTTTTTCCTCCATAATAATTTTGTTATTTCAGGGTACAAATGCTCTCCCTCCATTGGATTATTCTATCAGTTGCACTTTTTATAATATATTTTAAAATAAACTTTTCAAGATTTTTAGATTTCTTTATCATTATCTAGCTTGAGTACTTTTTTCCCTAAATGCCTTAGAGGCAGTTCAACATACTGAGATAGGTGATATGATAGAAATGTTAAAGTACACTAAGGGAATTAATAACATTAAAGGATTTCTCCAACCCTTTTTTGAAAACATGTGAATAATATACTATTGGCATTATTCTTCAGGGTCTCCTTAATAGAAAGTTTGAAAAGCATTTTATATGAAGGTTTTAGTTACCTTAATTCAGCGCAATACAAAGCCTCTGGCTTTGGTCGGAGCACCTCCATCTGACATCATAGAAAAGCCTTTGATTGGACCATTTAACCGTCTCAGAACGTGTGCGTGCGCTCTGAGCTGGCAAGAGGAGACAGAGGTAAAGCAGGAAGAGGGAAGGCAGGGGAAAAAAATATCAGATAGGATAGGGAGGTGGGAGAGCTACAATTAAGAATGGTGAGATGGGTAAGGGAGAAAAATTTAATGTCTGTCAGCAGCATGCGGTGCAGGCTAATCTCAGACATTTTTTATGCATAGAAGCATATTGGCATTCTATGACATTGGCATTAAGCAACACAGAACAGAGTTCTAGGCTGCCAATGTCACGTGTGCAGGGGGTGCAACCATAATAAACAAAAAGCAGAAGTGTTCATGATGGTTGTAGTAACACTTTAAACTCAAAATGTTTTAACATAAAGAGCAACACCTAAACAAGATGTCATAATCTTAAATTGCAATAGCTAAGGTGTAATGTGAAGAAGCTTTACTTTACAGAAAAGGTGCTTGATCCATGGCATGGACTAAAGAGAAAGACTAACATGTTATTCACTAAATATTCATAGTGAATTTCAAAATTGAGGCCAATTAGAAAAAAAAAAAAAAAATCAAATCCATACAGTTTTTAATTTGACTATATGGTCCTTAAAAGTTAAATTTACTTTGACTTCACTCAAAGTAAGTAAGTTTCTGACAATTTTCAATTAAGTAAATAACCCTGTAATGAAATTAAAAAATAACTTGGATACACATATGGCTGTCCTAACAAGTAATTAAGTTTACTGTTCACGTCTAATATGAGCAGACTTCTTGTGCCTTTAGGTTCTTATCAGTGTTCAATATCTGTTTGTACAGTAATATGTTAAAAACCCAATACTTTTCAGATTCGGATTAAATCTTAAATAGTTTCTGAGTTTTCAATATTAATTTTGTTTCCATGTTTTTAGTTTTTTTCTCATTACTGTACCTGCTAATGCTTTAATTCAGATTGAAAGAATATCTAAAGTATATTTCACTATGTGGCAGCAATACCAATGACGGCACCTATTAGCTTAAAATTGAATTCGGCATGGATTCATCGGTTATACAGTATATCTATTAAACAGTGGTTCATATGTATACTTCTATGTAGAATTTAAATAGATTAATAATAATTCATTATTATATCCTAAATACAAACAGTCCATACTTCTCTATGTTTTGGGTTATAAAAAAACATCTTGGTGTAGACATTAAATACATGATCAAATATTAAAAAACTTAACATTTGAATGCGTTGAATCTACTAAGGAAAGAGAGTGTTATATTTTGTACATATTGTAGTTGGTTTCTAATAATAAATTGATTTTTCTGCAAACATTGTAAAAGGCAAAACCAAAGACTCCATCTGCTGCGTAGAAATGCAACTCCCATCAATTTGGGTAGCCCAAGAGTTGTTTAATGTTTTACATACATACACACTTATACTGAAGCCATTCTATAACAGTAATGTTTAGATTTCTTAAAACACTTAAAATTAAAATTAGATTCATTATTAATATTAAATGGAAATGTAATGTAAAATGTACTTTCTCATAGGTATTTTTCACTGCCTTGTTTTTGTCATGATATAAGACATTCAACTAATTGGAAAAATACCTGGGGTTTGTCCAGTAATCTGGCAATTGTGCAGAATTGTGCAGAAAGGAAACCGCAAATTCTACTCCAACACAGCTATGGCGGAAAATAAGTGAGATGGAGCTTTTATTCTAACGTAGCCTAAAATTAAATTTTTCCTGGTATATTCTCATTTGTGCCTAATTCCCCTTGCGTCATGCTAGCTCTCCTATTATGGGATTATAACAATTTTATTATTTTTCTAATATTGAGATTTCTACCAGTGTCGAGTACTGTTATTGACACATTAATTATATAAATTTGATTATATAATAAAATAATAAAATACATGACTGAACTTTTATGAAGAGGATGCAATTATTGCAAATGATTCTAAGATCTTAGATATTCAGTTGCTCAATGACCCAGAAGTAAGGCTCATGGCTGCAGGTTCAATTCCCAGCAGGGCCAATAAGCCTTTTGACTTTCAAGAAAATTAGTAGATTTAAGTGAGTAATTCCAACATATATTAATCATTTGCTGATTTTGTTAAAATCTGAAAGTTGTTGCCAAATAACTTTATAAATCCTTAAGGAGAAAGATTATTATTATTGTTATTGTTATAAATGCATGTTTTATCTGACTCTTGTTTTTAAATCTGTTTTAAATGATTAATAGCATAATTTTTTGTTTTTGTTTTAGCCAACCTATTATTTATACCCATGATTAAAAGGACACTGTAGGCACGTAGACCACTTCAGCTCATTGAAGTGGTGTGAGTGCATTGCCCCATGTCACTTAACTCTACAGTGGTAATTACCTGAGAAACTGCACTAATTACCTCTGAGGAACTCCAGTGTCAGATTTTTCCCCATAAGAAAGCATTGAATAATGCTTTCATATGGGGAAATCCTAATGTGAGCACGGCCATTGCCACGTATGCACATTAGGTCTCCCCCGCCGGCTGACGTCGGCAGATTAGGAGCGTGGGCAGAGCCTGACCCAGCGCTGACGGACATCGTGCTGGATTCAGGTAAGTGACTGAAGGGGTTGTAACCCCTTCAGCCCTGCAGGAGGGGGAGTGCAAGGGAGGGGGTTACTGCAGGAGCCTATAGTGCCAGGAAAACGGGTTTGTTTTCCTGGCAATATAGAAGGCAAGCACATAGAACAAAATGTGCAATATTATTGAATACCTATGGCATGTTTTCCCCTTGTTTCATGCACTTATGTAACTGAAAATGAATAATGAATAAATGCATCACCTAATTTTATGAAAACATCTCATAATCCCCGAAAAATCTAAATTATATGAAATAGTTACAAAGCACATTCCACGAGAAAGTAGAACTACAAAATAGTAACCATTTCCTATCTTCTGTCAATTTATGATTTTTTATGGTTTATAAAAAAATGCACGAACCTATTCTCTAGCAATGACTTTCAGATAATCATTCATAAATTATATAATAAAGTATTTAATAACAAAGTATTTAACCAGGAAAGGTACATTCAGACTACTCTGGTTTCCAAGTATGCCTTGGGGATGTTACTTTTGCCCAACATCCAGGGTATGTTACTATCACACAATTTAATGGTACTTATTTTATCTACCCTGGAATGATGAGGGGTTGCGTCAACTCTGCTGGGGTTTGAATCTGTGACCCACAAGTATTGAACAGATTCCACTGATGATGCATTCAGGGCCCGCCTTAGGCCTTTAGGCGCCATGTGCGAAAAATCTTCACAGTGTCCCCCTCCCTCTCCCCGTCATCCATGTATAGTGTGTGTGTATAGGAGTGTAGTGATTGAATAGGGGATTTATTAAATTAATAATGATTTTAAAAAAATATTCCTTCCTCCTTTCCAGTTGTTACCTAGTTGAGAGAGGGGCACGCTGATCTGAATCTGGTCTGCCCCTCCACTGGGTACAGACCATGCGTAACTGTCTCGCAAGCTCAGGGACTCGCAGTGTCCTGTGGTAATCTGCGGCAGCGCTGTGATTATCCTGAGCTAGGAAGACAGCTACTTATGGTCTGCAGCCAACAGAAGTGCAGGCCAGAAGTGCAAGACTGCCTCCCCTACATTACAGAGGAGCAGACTAAGTATGTCACATTATACTGTGAGTGGTTTTGCTTTGGAGCTCTGGATTATACTTATTTACCTTGACCTCTTTGGAATAAAGATTTAAAGTAATGCGCTACTTCTCCATTTATCACAGAGCTCCACAACAATAAAACTCCCATTAACGTGGAGTCTGTGACAAGATCATACACTACACAACAATACAACTGTTAGTAATGTGTCTATTAGTGTATCACCAAGCTCCCTGACTATAAAACACAGAGTAATGTGCATTTTATATACAAGAGTTCCACTGTAATACATCTCACTACAATATGATGTAATGTTTGTGTTGTCCGTGTATGTGATAGGTGTGATGACTGTGTGTGATATGTATGCTATGTGTTGGCTGTGTGTGATATTTGTAATGGGTGTATTAACTGTGTGTGATATGCGTGTATTGGTTGTATGTGATATTTGTGCTGGGTTTATTGCCTGCGTGTGATGGGTATTTAATTCAGATAAAAATATGCATTTAAGTCTATGTGTGAATGCAGGTGTATATTTTTGCAGACTTATGTGAACACAGTCCCACAGTCAGATACACACAGTTATACATATACACTGTCAAATCCACCACACCACCGCACACAGTCGCAGGCAAATGGTCACATACACAGGCAGAAACACACAAGTACAGGCAGTAACACACATACACAGTTACAGGCAGATAAACACACACACACACACGCACACACAATTACAGGTAGACAGCCACACACACACACACACACACACACACACACACAAGCAGACAGCCCCACATATACAGCCACACATACAGTCTTACACACACATACTTACATGCAGACAGTCACACTTATTCGCACACACACACACACGAAGACAGCCACACACTCACACACACAGGCAGACAGCCAGACACACACACACACACACAGGCAGGCAGCCAAACACACACAAGAAGACATCCACACACAGAGGCAGGCAGTCACACACACACAGAGGCAGACAGCCACACCCACAGGCATACAGCCACACAAACAGACAGAGGCAGACAGTCACACACAGGCAGTCACACACACACACACAGGCAGACAGTCATACACACAGACACACACAGGCAGACAGTCAGACACACACAGGCGGACAGTCAAACACACACAGGCGGACAGTCACACACACACACACACGCAGGCAGACAGTCTTACACAGACACACACAGTCCCACAGGCAGACATTCACACACACACACACACACAAGCAGACAGTCACACACACAGGCAGACAGTCAAACACACAGACAGACAGCCACGCACACACACACAGGCAGACAATCACACATAGTTACCTCTGTTCATTATGGAGGAGTGGAGGCAGTGCAGCTCCTGGAGTCCCTGCTTCCCCTGTAGCAGTTACCTGGCACTTTTAGCTCTGCACCCTGCCGTCAGTTTAGTTTCGAATCCACCGCACGTGAAGCTCCGTCTCCACCGCAATATTGTTTGTTTGTTTTTATAATATAATATAATAATTTTTACTTTTCAGTAAAGGTATACTACCAAAAGGAGTTGTTTTTCAGGTTTCATGCAGTGCTTCTAAATATGATTAGATGCCTTTCTGTTGCACACAGTTAAATCATTAAAATAAATAAATTTGACAGAGAGAGAGAGAGAGAGAGATAATTAAACTAAGAGGGAGTGCAATACCATGTTCTAGTAAACTGAATAGGTGCAATACCATGTCTATTGCTACAGGTTTATTATTGTTACTTTCTGTAAGGTATGGGCAAGGGATCACCTTTTATCTGCCCATGTGATGGCAATATGCCACAAGTATGTCCAGTGTCCTTGACATATAGTGTTTCTCTTCTGACTTGCAAACAATTTGTCCAGTAATGTTCCATCCCTATGCCACAAATGATGCAAAATTCTCTCAACCCTGTCCAGTAACTAAAACATTCCAAAACAATACGTCCTACTTCCATAATCAATTCCCATGAAAGATACATGGAAAATAAAGATGTAGAAGTGAATGTAACTGTGTGCAGTATTCCAGCTTCTCTCAAAAGAAGATGCACTGGACTTATTGAGGATCGTGTGGTCCCAGAAATATTTTACCCCGTAATGGGCTTTTAAACAACATAACATTTTCACTTTTTACAAATGTACATTGATTTTTTTTTTTATATACATATATAATTCTTTATTTTTGCAGTGCATAGATTAACATACCGGCTTGTGACATCACAGCAAAATCAAGGCATGGAAATAAAGATTAACTTTTTTTGTGTAATAATAAAAAAAGCAATATGCACAACCTGTCAGTGGGTAGCAGGGTGAAATCGAAAATAATTTGCGACAACAGTTGCATGGTAGACATCCAGTGTGTGTGAGAGAATGTATGTGTGTGTCTGTGTATGTGTGTGTATATGTGTGTGTCTGTGAGTGTGTGTGAAATCAGTGAGAGTCTGTTTGTCATTGAGTGTGTGTGTGACTCTCAGTGTGTGTCTGTCAATGAGTGTGTGTGTGTTTGTCAAGGAATAAGTGTGTGTCAGTGAATGTGTGTGTGTCAAATCAGTGAGTCGGTGAGTGGCATCTGTGTGTTTGTCATTGAGTGTGTGTGACTGAAACTGTATATCTGCCAGTGTGTGTCTGTCAGTGAATGTGTGTGTCTGTCAGAGTGGGTGCTTAAAGGGACAATATAGGCGCCAAGACCACTTTAGCTCATTGAAGTGTTCAGGTTGCAGTGTCCCAGTCCCCATAACTCTGCAAGTGCAATTATTGCAGTTTTTTAGAAAGGGTAATTGAAGGGTTAACTCCACCTCTAGTTACTGTCTGACAGCCACTAGAGGGACTTCCGGGTAGTTAGAAAACCAAATGTCCATGAGGACATCCAACTTTTGCTAAATCCCCAAAGAATTGATACAATGCCTTCCTATGGGGAAGTCTAATGCAAGCATGGACTAGGAGCCTGACTTATTTAACCCCTTCAGTGCTGAGTGAAGGGGAACTATAGGGTACTATAGGGCCCGCAAAAAATCCCTTTAAGGAGTAGGTACGAAGAGGCTGAGTTTTTAGAGGAAAATGTGGAGTCTAAAGAGGCAGGGGTGGGTGTTAATCAGGAAGAGGAGTGGCCTTAAAAGGAAGCGGTGGGGCAAATTTAGGTTACAGGGTGCCCAGGTTTAGTCATACCAAAATACACCATTGAACCTGTTTGCTACTACAGTTTGACATAAAACATTTACAGCAGCAGGCAAGTTAAGCTGAGCAGTAGTTGGTCAAGGGACAGTAGAGTCTGATCCAATATGGCTGAGAACAAGATTTTCAAAAAAAAAAATAATCAAAAAACTAATATACCTCATTTAGAAAATATTATAAGTTTCATTAAGTGTAAAAATTAAAATGTCAGTTGTCTTTTCAGTATAGCATCTTTTTTCTGTTTTATATACTAAGATATAAAACACTCACACTTATTACTTAAAACTGTTAAAAATACAAAAATTGCATAATGTATTGTTGGATATAATGATCGTGTTATAGATTTATTTTTAATTTAAATTTTTTTTTTTTTTTTTTTTACAGTTTCCATGTGAATTAATTCAATATTTATCAATTCTGTTTGATGCAACTCTCTGAGGATTAAATAAACAGTTTCTCTATAAAATGCTTTGTTGTAAGTTTTTGAAAAAAAATGTATGTTTAGCTTATTTTTTTTTTATATTTGTTTATTTGTATTTTATTTTATATACATATTCTATATCGGGGTCCCCAACCCCCGGCCATGTACCGGCGCTAGTCGGCAAGAATTTATTGCCGGTCCACGAAAGCTTTCACTCGACTATGCAGAGGCAGGGGTTTCACGACTATACAGTCAGGTGAAAGCTTTTGCGTACCGGCAATAAATTGCCACAAGATATTTCCCCGGTACTATGATCTTAGCCTCCCTCTCCCCTGCTGGCTGTGCAGGACCGGAGGTGAGATCAGAGATCTCCCTCTCCGGCCCGCTGCAGTGTAATGCTGGCAGCTGGCAGGGGAGAGAGGGAGAGAGGACCCGGGGGAGCTCTAACCTGCAGCTCCGCCAGGTTCTCCTCTCGCGAGCTCTGAGCGTTGCCCGTTACCACGGCAGTGCTCTGAATCTCACAAGAGTGAAATTTAGCAGCTCCTGAGACTGCTAAAGTTCACTCTCACCAATGGGAACACCAGGTTTTCTGCACCGGACCACCAGGGAAATGTCTCTCCTCTCAGGCAAAGGTAAGCAGGGAGGGGGGATATCAAAATTAAATTAAAAAAAATATATATTTCTATATATATATATATATATATTTATTAATCTACTCTCCAACCTCACAGACCAACAATCAATCTCACCTATACACACACACTGCCCCCCCCCACACACACACACTGCCCCCATACACACACATGCCCCTATACACACACACACTGCCCCCATACCCACACTCTGCTCCCATACCCACACACACACTGCCCACATACACACACACTGCTCCATACACACACACACACACACTGCCCCCATATACACACACACTGCCCCCCACACATTGCCCCATATACACACACATCATACTGCCCCCATACACACACACACACTGCCCTTATACACACACACACACTGCCCCCATACACACACACACTGCCCCCATACACACACACACACTGCCCCTATACACACACACACTGCCCCATACACATACAACACTGCCCCCCATACACACACTGCCCCCATACACACACTCTTCCCCAATACACACACTGCCCCCATACACACACACACTGCCCCTATACACACACACACACACACTGCCCCATACACATACAACACTGCCCCCATACACACACTGCCCCCATACACACACCTTCCCTCAATACACACACTGCCCCCATACACACACAGCCCCCATACACACAGACTGCCCCTATATACACACACTGCTCCCATACCCCACACACACTGCCTCCATATACACACACACTGCCCCCCATACACACACTCACTGCCCCTATACACACACACTTCCCCCCACACACACACACTGCCCCCCATACACACACACACTGCCACCCATACACACTCACACATACACATACACTGCATCCCTCACACATACCATTGGGTTTTATTTCTGGCTGACGCCGGTCCGCGAAATATTACTCCTCTTTTCGCTGGTCCCCGGGTGCTAAAAGGTTGCAGAACGCTGTTTTTTATCTTACATATGCCTTCATTATTATAAAAGTGTAATGTTTGTACAGGATTCATGAATGTTTGAAATGTCCTGTGATGCCATATATGTCTAATTGTGTATGTATGACTGTGGATGGAGAATTTGTTAGCTTGCCCCATTTTGTTTTTTATACCCTTTCCCATTGTTGCCTTTCCCTATAATTTTTTTTGCAAAAGTTAATAAAAAGCATTTGAAAAACATTAATGATTTTCAACTTTCTTTGGAATTTTGAAAAAGGGTAAAGCTCATAATTTATTTGGTCCCCTCTCTAATTATCTAACATGTATTTAAATAGTGCTTTGTGACAGTGACCTAGGCACCAATGCATGTTGAAAACGACACTATGGAGGAATAAATCCCTTTTCCTGAATAAATCTAATGTTGTCTCTCCCTTATTTTATATACCTGAAAGATATGTGGGGCTGCAGTGGCCTTTTCCCTGACATGTGACACTTTTATACCCTCCTTAATCATCACAGTAGGAATTAAACTGATTGACAAACTGGCTTTTCTTACCATTCTCAAAGCTTCACTGGCTACATATCGTTAATAAATGAATTGCCAAACAACATACAAAATATAACATTTAGATTTGTGTAGTCAATTTCAACTTTGCTTGGAAATGTAAAACATTTGCAAAAAGCAGTTTTCAATCAACCTTGCCTTAGTGGAAAGTACATTAATTAACTTACTCAACATTACTCAACTCTGTTGTGAATCTAGTGCTGCTTTCTTTTTTGCAAATATGTCCCTGATATTGAGCCGGAGAAATATAAAATATATAAAATATTTTCCTACTCTTTGGGACCTAAGTGGAAAGAATGCCATAATGTAATTTTTCCCCCTAGCTTTACTTTTGACATTTGGATTACAAATATAAGTACATATAGTTCTTCATCTTAAATGGACATTTTTGACTCATGTTGACAAATTCCTTTTTAATGTATTATATAGAACAATGCATGAAGACACATACCAACATGATAAATGAACAACGTTTAGAATTTATATGTGAATGTCCTATTTAAAGTTATTTGTATATTCCAAATACAAGTGCTTGGCAGTTGTGGTACTTCCTCACTTTTGGTGAAAACAACAGAGCCAGATCTGCCAGTTGGCAAAGTAAACGGCTGCCCACAGATTTAAGCCTGTTCAGGGTGCCCTCAGTGACTACATATAACTGCATATTGAAATATATTTCCATTGTCCAAATCATCACGTAAGCAAAAGAGAACTGAATGTTTTGAAAGTAGGTAAATATAGTTCTGGAAAACAGCTAACATATTACATGTTCTGGATTATTCATTAAAAGCTTAAATTTAGCCATGTGTACTAGCAAAACATTTTGTATCTGAAAGATTAAGAACTTTATATGAAAAAGAAATACATTAGTTAAATGCAAAGGCTTGTGACTCAACACAAGCCACAATGTGACTTTTTTTTTTTTTTTTTACAAATGATTGATGTAACAAAAAAAATCTTTCATCCCTTTATGTTTTTTTTCCCCAAACCTTATTATAAATTAGTGTTTACAGGTTTTTTTTCATGTACTTTTGCAGTGGACATTGAGTTATTTATACATTATGCCCCATTATCAGCATAAAACCCCCACATTTTTCAAATCATGTTACATGGTTTCATTCACTTATACACCCTTTGGCTAAAGGTACAGAACTACATGGAAATTTCCACTGAAATCAATGACCAGCATCTCTGCTAATGAGCACATACCCTGGAGTGCAATCTAAAACTGCAATGCAAGAAAATACAAAGGAGAAACACTCACAGGACCTCTTAATGTTTTAGCAGCAATTTATTGCAGGTAAATCATATTGAATATCTAAACCTACTCCGTAAAGCAATGACACTGTTGATATGATGGTTTGAAACTTGCTGAGAATTGTGGGATACATTTATTTAAACGTTCATAAATACTGGGAGTTTTAGTTTTACCCATCACTGATCTAGACTGCGCAACTAGTCCACTTGCCTATAATGGATATATAAACAGGAAGACAAGTTAAAGGGACAATGATGCTAGCTGCAAATCCCTGCAGGTGTATTCTATAAAAGCACCGATTTTACAGGAAATCAGTGCTTTTGCAATAACTCTTAGTATGGCCTCATGACTGTCAAGGCTTCCTGCCTCACTCGCTTTGAACTACAGTTCATTGTGGAAGTATGCTTTGTGTATCCCAGTGATTCTCTATGAGAAGCATCTGACTGGACACAAGTCATCTGTAATAATGACTTCATAGCAGGATGCTCAAGACAGGAGGATGATCAAGTTGCAATGAGGATATTCACCCATTACTCTAATAAAGGTGATTTTTTTTTTCTAATAAATATTTGATTGTTTTAAACAAAGCAGATCAATTTGATAGTTGTTGGGGCTACAAAACCAATCACCGCGGCTGATAGCTAATCTAAAAACATTTTTTAAAATAAAAACAAAAGGGAAACAAAAAGTTAAATGATCTGGTTTACAAAAATGGTCAGTTCCAGGGTAAATTAGAAAGTTTCATAAATTAGAGCCTTTTGTTGGGAGTCTTGAGACTGAACATAGGGCTCCCGATATTTATAAACTATGGAAACCCTATACTCCTTTTGTTGGGAGGTCTAAATCCAGTTCTAACTAACATCTAAGCCAGTTTGGATTGGCCTCATGAAAAGATGTGTTTATCTGTTGAAATCCAGACGTGAAGGATAGTCTTTCTGGCAGAAGCTAGAAACATCAAAATAAATCTAGAATTCTCATGAAGAAACCATCCCTACCTTCTTGGGAAACATTCAATAATTGATGCAGTGCACAGTGTTTTAAACTTCTAAATATTGGATTTAGTGATAAATCATTTCTATGATGATAGGCAGGGAGAGACACAAAATATAAATGAAAATAATTATATATATATATATATATATATATATATATATATATATATCACTTGCTATTTTCAGTACACCTTAGGTTTAAGTTCATTAATTGTGTTTACATATAAATTAATCCCTTACTGCTTTGTTTTTGTTGTTTTAAGCATTGCAATGACCAGCTCCCTCATTAGTCATTCTTTGCCCACTCTTAGCTGTCAAGTTGGAACAGTTTAATTTGCTTTTACTGGATTGAAGCCTAGAATTCAAAACACATTTGTGGTAGTTTCTCAACTTCAAAAAGTATATGTTCACTTGTAAGGGCTGTAAGTATTTCCCTTAATCATTTTTTTCAAATGGTGCAGAATTTAATCTCTGTAATCATTGATTTGGTGAAAATATTCTCTCAGATATATGTATTTATGTACTCACTGCACTTTTAAAACTATAAATATCATGGTGGTGTATTAAAGTTCTCTGTGTTCTTGTGTATAAACTGTACGGGTCATTCTACTTTCTAAGTGATTTCCTTTATTGTAGTTTTTCTTCTTTTCAAGCTGCCCTCATTTCATTAAACACCTCTGCAGATCTCACACAACATTTACTGAACTCAACAAAGAAATTGCAGGTCTCAGCTCTAAGGCTTTCTGCCAGACTGGTTAGAGCAGGGGTAGTCAACCTGGTTCCTACCGCCCACTAGTGGGCATTTTGGGATTTTAGGTGGGCATTAGTGGGCAGGGCAGGTAACAGAAAAGGTTGACAACTGGTTTGCAGCAGAGAGGAGTGGGAGAGTACTGAAAGTCTCTCTCACTCTCTCACAAAAGCTCGTTTTTAGTTTTCAGCTATGCATAGTCAGTCTGGCAAAGCCAACCCACACACTGGAGCTCCGCCCCCCAGCCTCACCCTGGTGACCTCAGGAAGAGCTTCATGAAAAAGACTCATATTGCACTTAAGGTCCAGTGACAGTGAAGTTACAGGTAGTTATATATTCAACCAGCAGCCCATGATTGATAGTGATTGCGTGTATGTGTAGAGCTTGTAGTGATCTTGTGTGTGTCAGTGAGCATGTCGGTACTGTGCTTGAGTGTGTGTCAGTAAGCTTGTAGTGAACATGTCTGTACTGTGCTTGAGTGTGTGTCAGTGAGCATGTCTGTACTGTGGTTGAGTGTGTGTCTGTGAGCTTGTAGTGTGCTTGTGTGTGTCAGTAAGCTTGTAGTGAGCTTGTCTGTATTGTGTTTGTGTGTGTCAGAGTGCTTGTCTATAGTGAGCTTGTGTGTTTCAGTGAGCGTGTGTGTGCCAGTGAGCATGTAGTGAGTTTGTCTGTATTGAACCTATGTGTGTCAGTGAGCTTGTGTGTTGGTGTCAGTGAGCGTGTCTGTAGCGTGCTTGTGTGTGTCATTGACCTTGTCTGTAGTGAGCTTGTGTGTGTCATTGAGCTTGTCTTTAGTCAGCTTGTGTGTATCAGTGATCTTGACTGAGTGAGCCTGTGTTTGAGCTTGTAATGAACATGTCTGTACTGTGCTTGAGTGTGTGTCAGTGAGCTTGTGTATGTCAGGGAACTTGTAGTGGGTATGTGTGTGTCAGTGAGCTTGTGAGTTTGTCTGTGTTGTGCTTGTGTGTTTCAGTGAGCTTGTAGTAAACATATCTGTAGTGAGCTTGTGTGTGTGTCTGTGAGCTTATAGTGAGTTTGTCTATAGTAAGTGTGTATGTGTCAGTTAATTTGTAGTGAGATTATGTGTAGTTACCTTGTGTGTATTTGTGTCAGTGAACATGTCTGTAGTGTGCTTGTGTGTGTCAGTGAGCTTGTGGGTGTCAGCTTGACTGTACAGAGCTTTTGAGTGTCAGTGAACTTTTAGTGAACATGTCTTTAGTGAGCTTGTGTATTGGTCAGAGAGCTTCTGTGTGTGTCTGTGAGGTTGTGTTTGTTGGTGAGCTGGTAACGAGCTTGTGTGTGTCAGTGAGCTTGTTTGTAGTGAGCTTGTGTGAGTTAGAGAGCTTCTGTGTGTTCCAGTGAGCTTGTCTGCAGTGATCCTGTGTGTGTCAGAGCTTCTGTGTGTGTCAGTGATCTTATCTTTAGTGAGCTTGTATGTATCAGTGATTTTGACTTGAGTGAGCTTGTGTGTGTCAGCGAGCTTATCTGTAGTGCACTTGTGGGTGTGAGTGAGCTTGTCTATAGTGAGCTTGTGTGTGTCAGCCTGGAGGGTGAATATTACAGCAATGTAATACCCATGGATCATCTTGAGTGAAGGGCTGCAGGTAAGAAACAATATAACAGCTCCCAAAGCTCATTGATATAAAAAATACAAACACTATGTGACATGATGAATTATTAGGCATGGGAGGCTCTGTGTTTCTTCCGTGAGCAGGCTGGTTGGAGCGTTGCGGCACGTTGCCATAGCAACACTCAGATACAATGCTGTGCTCGCAGGAGAACAGGAGTGAACATACCACCACTGGACCACTACGGCCTGCAGCATTATGCCCCCCCTCCCTAGTAAAAGGTAAGAAGTAGGGAGGGGGAGACATTAAGATAGATTTACCCCCACCTTCACACAGCATAGACCTTATGTACCATTCACACACACTATACCCCTCACACATACTACATCCCTCACACATACACCACCCCCTCACACATGCACTGCCCCTTCACACATGAACAGTACCCCTCACACACAGCATCCTTCACCCACACACTGTACCCTTCACACGCTACACCCTTTGCCCTTAACCCTCATTACACCCTTCACACACACACATTGTACCACTCACCCACATACAGCACTCCTTACACACAGCACCTTTCACACACACACTGCCCCCTCACACACACTGAACCTCTCTCTCTCACACACAGTACCTCACAGACACACATAGAAAATAAATAAAATATAAATAAAAATAGATACATTTAAAAACATATATTTTTTTTTAAATTCCTTTCTAAAAAAATTAAATAAAATCTCACTTGCTCTATAAAATTAGTTGCTGTGGTACTGGTGGGCGGTAATGAAATTTTACCATCAACAAAGATACAAAAGTGGGTGGTAGGTATTAAAAGATTGACTACTGGGTTAGAGGATACAGAAAATCCTCTGCCAGTGGTCCTATCAGTCATGCTACAAAGGGGAGGTGAGAAGGGACGCACAGGTGGTAAGAGAGAAAAGGCACACAAATGGGCCTTGGGAAGGGTACACAAAGACACTCAGAGTGGCTGCTGAAGGGAACAGTAAAACAGAGGGGCTGGGAAAGGGGACAATTACACGCACACAGAGGGACTGTGGAAGGAGACAATGACACACACAGAGGGGCTATGGAAGGAGAAAAGATACATTCAAAGGAGCTGCGGGGGAATACACGCATAGGGTCTGGGGGGGAGAGACAAAAAAAGGGGCTGGTGGAAATACACTCCAAGGTTGTTGGGGTAGAAAAAGACACACAAAGGGGGCTTTGGGAGAGAAAAGTACATACAAAGGGGCTGGCGATGAGACACAAATATGGGCTGGGGGAGAAAGATTCAAAAAGGTGCTAGGATAGAAGAAACACACAAAGGGGCTAGGAGAAGAAAGAGAAACAGAAAATGGCTGGAGGGGAGAAACAGACACAGAAAGTGGATGGGGAAGAAACACACAGAGGGGCAGGGAGGAAAAAGAGAGTCACAAATGTGCTGGGGGGGAGGGAAAGAGACAGAGAGGGGGTGGAGAAGGGTAAAGATTTACACAAAAGGGTTGGGGAGAAAAACATACAAAGTGACTGGGTGGAGAAAGAGGCATACAAAGTTGGCAATTTTTGTTTTGGGGGGTGGGGGAGAGGAAGTAGCTGGTCTTGTCTAGTGAGCAAAATAGTCTATCATCGGCCCTCTCTGTTATCTTAAATCTGGATTACATTACTGGTACTGCTGTGGCAACACTAATCAAAGTAACTTTAGGTATCCTTCCTGATTGAAATCCAGGGCCACCCGTAATTCTGTTCAGAAATAGAGATTAGTCATAACTATCCCAATTATGTGCACTCTAACTTCCCACCCGTTGTAATGTTTGCCTTTTATTTACTTTTCTACCCATTATGTTTATACACCATTTTTTTTATATCTTTTACATAGAAACAAAATATGACCTGTTTATGTAACACTATTATTTGATTGATTTAAATGTTACTGCCCAGTGAAGCCACCATCATCAAGATGAACATTATCTATGGAAGCCCAGCAGGAATTGAACTCTTGTTTATAACTTTATAACTTAAGCCTGGTGCATACCATAGATGTAGATGTAAAATACATATAGCTGGATAAAAAAACCAACTACCCACTCTGTGTCCATCCATTAATCATTCAATTCCCATACAGATTGGGCACAGTGTCGATGTGTATCTTTACAATTAAACGAAAGGAAAACAATAGTACGACTAACTAGACTCTACAGTCATGGAAAACAAAATGTTTGTGAATATGTACAGTGTGTTTTATATAAATAATATATCCTAGCTAGGAAGAGGAACTGTTACTTCTCTCGAATTTATACCAATAAAGCATTGAAAACCACCTATAACTTGTGTTAACCTTTTTCTCCTTTTAAATGTATATTAAAGATTATCAAATTACATCATAATCCAATTCATACAATGCAAAACCAGGGCAAACATTGTGAATGATTAATAGAAATAATAGGGATGGTAAATTCTTTCCATTTCTGAAGAACACCAAATTTAGAGAACTTAAGATGTGGGTGTACTTTATTAACTCTAAGCAGCAGCATCAATCAGTTTACAAGTTAAAATTAAGAGTGACAATTCATATTAAAGGAACACTCCAGGCATCATAGCAACTTCATCAGAATGAAGTTATTATGGTGCCAGTAGGTACTTTGCGTCAGCTTACCTTTAGGCATTAGACTGGTCCTCCTGGCACAATAAGGACTTTTTATCAATGAAGTTGTTATCATGTGTTGCTTAAAAAAAATAATCTATACTTTATAAAATGAAGCAGTGGTGGGCTTAACACTATATGGCCATGTGGTGTAACCAACATCCCTTATTTGTTTGCTAAGATAGGTTATTTTAAGTACCCTTGTAAAATTTAAAACCATATTTTTGTGTGTGTGCTTTGTTCCTTAAGCTGTATTTTAATCTATACCTTTTCTTGTGCTGTGTTCTTTGTAGAATAGGGACCGTGTACTCTAAGATTTAATATATGTTCCGACAACAAAATTTATTGATAGCAACCAACATATATATACATTTATAAAAACACTGAATATAAATTATAATTATATGTTGATCTATTGAAGTATAATGTACTATATGTTGATGTAGGATCTGCTATATAGTATCACAATTTTTGTAGTTTTTCATTAGAGGAGCACTATAAGCTTGATCCAGGACATTCTGCTTAATTTATTACTACTGTATAAACATAATAATGTTTGCATGATCTCATGTGAGCAGAGGAATAAAGGTCTATCCTATCACAAGTGCAAATCTATCAGCTCCCACAGAAGGAGTGTGTAATGGTTTACATTGGGTGCAAACCTGCCTTGCCTATTGAAACCAGTGAAATAGTACATTACATATTTGGTTTGACTGTTTATTACATGATACAATGTATGTATCTATTTATTGATAGGTGTAATTTCCCTGATGGATATACATTTATAAAGAGCAATAAAGAAATATTTTTGGAGATATTGCATACCTAAGTATTTATAAACCAGTTAGTAATTTAAGAGAAACATAAATGGAATATAAATACAGTAAGAACTGCCAATAATTCAAAGTGAATTTTAGATTTAAGGTCAAAGTAGCTGAAATGGAAGCATAGCATTTTTAGTCAGACTTTTTTTTGGCTTTTAATTTGAAATTCACTTTGTATTTCCGACAATTCTCACTTTAGTGAAAAACCCGCATTGTGTGCTAAATTATATTTTTATTTATATCAGTGGTTCTTCCCTTGACAGGTGACCAAAGATGAACTGACTCCATTTAGAAAATACACCCTACATAAAACATTTTTACCACGCATACCCAGAGTTAGTGTCTTAATTAAATAAAACACGGCAGTACTATGGAAATTGCTTCAAGTAAACAAGCTTGTACAGGTGTGAAATACCAGAAAACATGCCAACAATCTCTTTCACAATGCAATTATAGGACGACTTTGTTTTTGAAATTAAACTTGCTGTGTGGTTAGCACTAATGTTGCCCAGCCTGTATTAAAACGCCTGCATTCAAGGCTACTGAAGACAACCACATTCTTATTTCTGAGGTGTGTTATAGTGCATGCTACATCAGTAAATGCTTTGTGGTTGAAAGATATTTTTCCAGGTGAGAACAAATTAACTATATACTTGCCACATTGGCCTTATTGTGGGGAGTATTGGTGATAAGTGGGATTTATTATTAAATTGCAGGCAAAGTAAAATAATATGTTAAAATAGTAATATTTGAAACTCTCTTGTTATTGACAAGATCCTAATTACAATTTTTTTTAGCACCTTACATAAGAGATGCAGATATGGCTGCATTGCCTACTAGAACTGTGCACAGCGGAAAAATTTACTTCAGCCAAAGCACTTCTGCCGAAAATGAAAATAAAATTGAGACAGCTGAATTTTGGCCATATGATGGTTTGGCTTGGCTGAATGTCATTAAAGAAGAAGTATTCAGGGAAAAAAATGTAAAAAAACAAAAAAAAAAACATTATGTATGTATTTTACAGTACACTGATAGACACATGAGAAAAAGAGGAGGAGCACTAAAAATAAATAAATCTGTATTTTTATATATTATATATTTATTAAATATATAATGTATAATATAGATATTTATTAATTCTTTACTGCTGCTCTTGTTTTCCCTCTATTGGTCACTTTATACTTGATCTGTGAATAAAATTGATATTTAGTGACTGTCCCCTAGCCATCATTTTAATACCAGAGGTGAAATTTGGGATCACAAAAAAGTACAAAAAAGTACGGCCACTGCACATTTGGTTTGGTTTCTAATTCGCTAGATTTCGGCTCAGAGTTATGGAATTTGACCGATCACCTGACTTGGCCAAATTTGTGAATTTTTAATGAAGCAAATAACCAAGTCTAGTTTTCACTGGCTCATTTAAATAAGCTACC